GCGATTTGTAATCCAATTTTAAATCCGTTATTCTCTTACACATAATGTCACGAGCAGAAAATAAATTCCACGTGTATCATTTACTCTCAAAAGCATCGTTATCACACAATTGTCTTATTTTTCGTTTCGCAAAAGTCACAATCCCTGAATTAAATCTTGTTACAGTAATTCGGTTGTAAGCTCCTTCCATTGTGTGTAATGCTTCCTTTGATGTTCGGTTTTGACGTTTCACTGAATCAAATGAATTTGAGCGCATTTAACAAAACAATTGAAAACAGCAGTGAAATGAGTATTTCGAACATGAAAAAAAAGGAGAAGATTCCTTTGTAATGAAAGCACATCAGTAGAGCTAGAGTGAAGCGGATAAATGAGCTTGCTTTTGTGCAACTGAATGATGTTCACTTTGTAACAAACTTTAAATGCTTTACATTTAAAGTTCTGATGTGTTTTTTTTTGTCTCTATCTCTTTTACGTAACATTTAACTCTCATACCGAAAAACAAGTTAAAATCACTTTCAGCTCGGCGCTTGGAATGCTATTTATTTTAACTTCAGCACGATTCAGCGATTAAGAGAACGTTACCTTCGAACGCACATATCAGCAAATGTGCACGCAAACAAAAGCGAATTATTTTACATCCACAGCGTTCGTTGTTAGACGGTTCCATCAAGTGGCATTTTATTGCGAGCGCTGTCATCATCAGGAAAAGCTGTAAAATAGTAGAAAAGCCATGTACAATGAGAACAACACTGAACAACAACGGTATGCTGTGCATGCCACACCGTTGGATGTGAGGGTGATGTATGAGTTAAATCATTTCATGTTTTAAGTATCCATCTGACATCTATTTTCGTATCTTATGTTTTCATTCGAATCATAAAATTCTGACATTAGCCATGGGAATGCTGGCACAGCCGAACAAGCACACACACAAAAACTGTCGTTACAGATTTTCGTTTACGGCGACGAAGTTCACTTTTCGCCGTGTCTTGTGTGTAGGTTTTATGACGAAACATAAGCAAAAAAACATGCGAAAGGCCGACGAAATAGATACACATGTAGAAGGCAAAAGTGTGTGGTGGTGGTGGCGGCGGCTTATGTGGTTGCCATTCACCATTGTAACAAACACATGCGTTACGAATAATAATTTATTGTTTATACTCGAGAAATATAAGCGTAAGTATAACGTACCAGTCAAAAGAGTGTCACCAGAAGTGTCAAGCGAACAAATGACAAGAACAAATGTCTCATGAACGGAGAGCGAATTTTTTTTTCGGCTGCTTGTTCTTCTTCGTTTTTCGTGAAAACTTATTACACGTTGGTTGGAAAAAAGGATGCGATGCTTGTTGATTATCATATTTAAGTTGGTGGTATGGTTGTTGATATTGGCAAATATTTTATTTTGTCCTTTTCTTGCGTTCTTCCGAAAATTGGGAATCACTCGACTTCGACATGATTTTATTATTTATGGATTCAGTGATCATGGAATCGATGTCATTGGAAATAGCTTGTTCACATGGCCCACACTCTAGTTTTCCACTCACTCAATGATGAACAATATTCGGTACAGCCACACCACCAACACCCAAGCGTAGCTCTTTTTTTATCTGCGTGACATGTAATCTACAAGCAATATCCCTTTCACTTCGGTATGCCTGTCATATGATACATGAAATCCATATGCATTCGCATCGACACTCGCATCGGCATTCGCTTTCCATGAAAATCAAATTATCTAAGCACATCGAAGTACACACACAATCTCCTTGTTGCTCTCCGTTGCGGTATTCTTGTGCCACACTCACCATTCAATAGCTGCAATGGGAACAATTCGCAAGGAGCCTTTATCAACAATCGCTTGGTGCTTGGCCGACTTCTCGTCTTGATATATATATTTTTGCGAATGAATGCAATGAAATAGCTTCCGCAGGATTTATGACATAAAATATGAACGAATTTACTGAAGTGTATGTTCGGTCATATATACATCATACACCATCAGTGGTCACGGCTTGTTTTGGATGTGTGTCTCTTCGTAATATTCCACCCGACCGAAGAAATGGAGAAGAAAAAGAGAAGAAAAATGAACCAGTGTGACGGTTGCACAAACATGACATTAAGTTTTATTACACGCATAACATTTCGTTTATTTTGTGTTTGATAAGACAGAAAAAAGCGATAGGCATCTTTACGGCAACCTTCGGTGTTTACGACTTTTTTCGCACTCTTTCAATATTCGGCACTCATATATACGTTCAACGACGTTAATAAGTTATGGATTTCTCTGATTCACAACAAAGAATTAAACATCTCAGCGCTCTCTCTCACCCTCATCTTGCTCCAGCAACCAAAAATACATCAACAAATTTGTTGTTCACACTGAACAAACGCATCATATAATTCGTGCGCGCCTTGAAATCAAATACCCCAAAATGCCTTTCACTGCTCCGCTTTTTTTATTGGGTCAATAATGACTCGCCATAAACGAAAGCATAATTTTGCTTTTTATTTGCATTCATTAAAACATTTTGCCTTTATTCCGATGCGTCGCTGCCGTCATCGTTGAGATTCTGTTTTTCCATTGGAAAAAATTCTGACAATTGCTCAAACCGAGCAGAAGCAATTTGCGCGAAAATATTTCATGTGCAGAAAAGCCACAGAGAATAAGACGAGGAGGGCAGGAGAGAGAGAGGGATAGAGAGAGAGAGAGAAAAAGAGGACGACGAAGAAAAAAATGTGGTCGATTACAGTTTCGTTTTATTGTATGATTGGGATGCTTGCATTAAAATAAAAAATCCTTTATTTGAATGAACAAAAATGCGAAAATCCTTGTAACCGATTCGATGGTCGTTGCCTTTGTTTTGCAACCGCTCGACAGGCTGTGTGTATTTTATGCGTCAAGGGAAAAAAACTGTTGATATGCAATGATGTGGGATTGGCCATATGTATTTTAATAAAAAAAAAAAAAAAAGAACCGAAATCTCGATAAACTCACATCAAATCCAATCATTTACTGTATTAAAATATTTATTCATGCCGCCGTTGATTGTGCAACCATTCGTATACAATTCCGCTCGTTTACTCTCATTCCATATGCATGTCATTTTCCATGGTCTTCCAATAGTGTAAATCAGATTTCTTCGTCTCCTCGGCTATTGACTCGTCTCGATTTATTCGCATGGAAAAATTGCCGAAAAGATAATACAAGAGCGCATTGGACTTTTAATAATATTACCAAAACTACTGTGAATTCCTTTTAGAGGAAATCAAATAATATCCGGTCTATTTTATTAGCTCTATCACTTGCCGATTCTCAACTAACTGAGACGTTCGTTTTTCGCTCTTCTCCTTTTTGCGTGGGTCCTTCAATCTGGATAAACGTTGCTGGTTTTTTTTTCCTTGCTTCTTCTCCGTTGCGTGTATTTTTTTTTTTTTATCATTTTGAAACAAATGCGATTCTTAACGTGTGTATACTATACAACTTTGATTCGATTACTGATGGTGGGATGAATATAGGATGCGTGTTGAACATACATAAAAAAATGTACTCTTCGTATGCGTAAGTGAAGCGAAGCGGAAAAGTCTTCATAGTCATTTTATACAATTTTATATCGTAAAGCTTGTTTTCATCACAGAACTTTTTTCGCCGAATGTGATACGGAAATGGAAAAACGAAAAGCAACCAGAAAAAAGGAAGAAAAAAAGAAAAGAAAAGAATGGCAGAGCCACCATGAAAACGTTGAGGTACCAAAGTCAATGTCTTTGACACTGTAAAGCGATTTTTGGGTGGTTTTCACAAACAAATGTCTTTGCAGCTTCACTTTATCCATGGCATATATACACAAATATAATATTGTCCTCATTTGTTACATTGGATCCGACCAAAATCGATGGATAGCAAACGAGGGATGATGATAATGAGATACCATATCCGGATCACAATGACAAAAAACGGTATACTTTTTGCCATCGCTGCTACTGTTGCTTGTTTTTGAATTATCTTTTCTGCTTTTGAATTTATTTAAAGGCCATCTTTTCCTCTCTCCGACGTGATTCGCACAGAATTGAGATACATCGACTCCAAGACAAACAACATAATTTGAAAATGTTGAATCAAGAACACACACAAACAAACAGTGAAAATAGAACGAAAGTAATTCAAAGAATAACGAATGTAACAAGAGCACATCGTTAGCAAAAAAAAACCTTGATTTTCATTTTGAAATATCGCCATTGTTGACAATCATACGCTTTTGCTCTTCATTCAAGTGGCATCTCGGTCATCATGCCATTGTCACACTAAAGTTGTTGACGGAAATGATTCTTGTAAAATCTTTACCACTTTCTCATTGAACCAGGATATCACGTATGATTTCAAACGAGTTGGGAAATGTTCCCCATTCGTTTCGTTCTACTGCATCTCATCGATCTCAATGAAATATTAACGAGTCAAAAGTACAGCATATGCTTGAATTATACATGAGATATTGTCACAATAAAAACCCATCTGTTGCCACTCCAAATAAGAGTCATTTACGAAGCGTATATGCTACGCATACACACTCACACCTCACACCATTACCTGAAGGATATGAGGCGGAAGTAGATTTATATGTGTTGTTGTACCATTCCCGAATCAACTTTAGCACACACCATTTTAATCGGAACTGATGATATGGAAATATTGTAAATAGAAACTCAGCATCGCAGTGAGGTGCGTGTTACAATGTGTGTTCAAATAAATACCATTTATACAATTAAGTGACAATTTCAATAACAGTCAATATTCATGAATCGATTCGACAATATCAATTAACGTGGATACTTTCCGAATCTCGTCCCCCATGCGTCCCCGACACGTTTATTTCGATTCCCATCAGCCTTGAGTCATTTCATAAATTATTCATACGAAACACTTGTTCCATTCGTTAAACGATTGTGGGCAAACAATTCCCATTCAAGCGTACCTCGAAGTGTAAGTTTAATCAAAAGTCATTCTATTTCTGGTTTGTAATAATAATTAATTTATTATTTGAATTAGAAAGTTCGGGTAGAAAATAATGGTTTTGAATTTAACATTTATCGACTTGTGGGCGGAAATATCTTTGTAATTTATTAGCTTTCACACCCAATTTTTGGTTCCATTTTTGATATTGCCGTTTCATATGGTGGATATCACGAGCCTTTTTTGCAGCGGCAGCCTGATGTGTTGTGGTCCAGCCAAGTGCACGATATTCCGATAGAACTTTGTGCAGTTTCTTGTTTGTCTTTGGAACCAAGGCACGATTTGGATTCAGGCGCTGTTTGTAGTAACGCAGTAGTGAACGGTGACCAATTACAGCTCCGGATGGCAGTACCAATTGATATTCATCTCCTTCCAACACTTCAGGCGTTATTTCTGCATCAACATCCATTCCGTCTTCCTGGAAATTGACACAAAAACCAATTCACACATGGGATTAGTTTATGATTTAGTTGATCAAAGTTTGGGTTTATGTATGTTTTAAGCTCATACACAATGTATTATGAAAATTCAAATCATTTTCACTCTAAATTTTGAATAACATTCAAACTTTTTGAGTTAATTGATTTTTAAATTGAAAATCGCTTCATTCCTCATACAAAATTCCGTATACTCACATTATCTGGATAGCTGGAGCTATAGTCATAGAAATCAGCGTACTCGGCGAGTGCAATACCTTCGTGCAACATTCGACAGTGTCCCTTGTCTCTCATGTGTTTGCGAACAGAATCCAATGAGTAGAACGTTTTGCCGCGATCATTACACCACAAACATATGAAATCTGAAAGTGAATAGAAATTGAATTCATATTCGATTATTGATACAGATAACTGTAGTGATTCTCATTGTTATTATTATTTATGATAAGAAGTTTGGTAAATTTAAAAATGAAATCTGCAAATCTTTTCCATACCTCTTGCAACTTTTTCACCCAAATACATCAGTAACCCGTCCAAATCGACGATGAATTCTGTGTCTGGAATAAAGAACGAGTGCACTGATGACATGTGCTTCACGTTCTCTACCATATCTTCACTGTGGTGTGGGCAGAATATGCAGTCATTGTTTGCGATTGGGTTATCGAAATTTTCGTCCCATTCGTCGGAATCAACTTCTTCAACCTCCATACCGTCTTCATTTTCACTTTCCTCTTTCGCTTGAGTCTGAGTTTGAGTCTGTTTCATTGGAACATCGGCTTGTGCGCCCAAATTCTGTCCCTTTTTCTCAGCAATCAGCACATTTTCCTTGTGTTTTTTGCTGTTCAAATGGTTTTCATGCGATTTGTCTGAAATGAATTGCTTACGGCACACGGTACAGTACAGTGTAATCTCTTGTTGTGCCTGTTCATCGGATGCACGCTGTTGCAAAACACGCTTCTGGAATTCCTCAGCTGTAACTGGTGGCAAATCACCAACTCGACGCTTCAAATTATATCGATGCCAATCGGTTTTGTAATGATCCCGTTGAATATCGGCATTCTGGAAACGCACATTACAATTTAAACATGTATGTGCTGACATTTTCCGAATGTTATGAAATTCACTTGACTCTTTTTATTTACGCAGGAATCGAACAAATTCACTCAGCTAGCTTATTGTTAGTGAATATCACGTTTTTCACGTTGACACAATGAACTACGGTGTGAGAATGAAAGTGTCACTTCGAGTTGCCCGATGTTTATTCATCGCTCGGTTTGACGTTTCGTGTCACAAACTGCTTGAAAACTCAACATTGGGACACAGAACGTGAAAAGCAAAGTGAAAATCTCGACGAGTCATTTGTTTTGTGTTGTTAGATTTTAAAGTTTCGAATATGGATAAAAAACAGAAAAAGTAATTTATATTATCGTGTATTCAAGAACTCCATTTACTGAATATTGGTTTCTTTTAGAAATTCGCAGAAGAGTGCAAAGCCTACCAAAAAGTCGCAACCAGTTGTGGATGAAAAGCCAAAAAGACTCGACTCAAAAGCACCGAAACAATCTTACGATTTGCCGGCTGTTCAATGCAAAGATACACTTTTGCTGGATTATGACTACAGCAAACAATATTCGAAGCGAAATTTGGTGAGCAATTGGGATAAATACGCCGATTTACCAGATGACGATGATGACAATGGACAATTGTCAGCGGCTGATTTTGAACAACTTTTGTCTGCATCCAAATCAATTGGTGATCACTTTACATTCGCCGCCGAACGAAGCTGGTTGCAAAATGATGGTGGCAATGCATCTGATGAAGGTTCAGTCGCTGCTGATTTATTCAAGTTGAATATTTCGAATTTGAAGAATGGAATTGGCCGATTACCATTCTATATGCGTCAAGGTCTGCCCAAGGAAATGTTTACGGACGATGAAATTACCAGCATGAACTACAGAGCCAATTACTTTGAGAATGAAAATAGCCATAAGTTATCAGCAGGGAACGAAATAAATCAAAATCTACTGAATATACTTACGAAGGAGAATGTGAAAGATACATCGAGTACAAATGAGAAAAGGAAAACTGATTACAGCTCCAAGAAAATCGTTAACGCTCCATCAAAGAAAGTCGAAGTAAAAACACCCACACAAAAGGACATTCCGCAGAGCTCAAGGGAGGCAGAACTTATCGATCAACTTACCGAAATCAAATTGACTCCCACAGTCACCACAATCCCAAGCAAAAGTAATCCAATTAATACACCCTCAAGTAGCACCAAAGTCAAGTCCAACAAAACGGAGGATATCCAAGATTGGCTCGACGATATCCTGAATGAAAATTGAAAATCGCATTCTTTGAATATATTGAAAATTGATAAATTGAAATAAAAACGTTTATTTTTGATATTAAATCCATATGTGATGTTTTATTAACAAATTCTTCGTCCTATACATATTTGTTTTATTTTTCTTCTGTTTTTTTTATTCTTCATTTTTTGCCTGTGTTCACACATCCTAAAGTGAATTTTTATTTGAGAACTATTTCATTTTTTGTCGCTATGGTTTTTGTTTCTTCTGTCGATTTCATTGAACATTGTGTGACCCCATACTGAGAATTGTCCAGTGTTGGCAAATGCAACTGTATGTTATGAGCTCGATTTTTGTTAGGCCAGTAAATCGTCTGTGAATTGATACCTTTGATGGATTGATTGAAATTGCACGATCCATTTTTCCCCTCCAGAAATTACTTAATTTACAAATTTAAATAAAAAATATCGTTGATTTCGATATTTGTCCCACAGATTGATGCTTAGATTATGCGTAGCAAAATGTATTCGAAAAAAGCTAATTTCGTATGATTTCTTGTGTTGACTATTTTGGCAGGGAAATTGTAGACATGTATCGCAAAAAATCGCGGCGATTTATTTCGTTTTTCTGGAATCAACGTTCATTCAAGATCATTCAACTTTCCGACACATTTAGAATGATCAGAAAATGATTGGATTTTGGGCGCAAACAATTGGAATAATTTCAATTTGTTTCACCTGTTAGTTCAACTCATTTGTGTGCGTGTGATTATGCATTTAGTTTTGATTGGATGTGGTCAATTGGTGCACCTTTTAAATATGTAGTGTGGATAGTGTTCTATAGTGTTCGGGTTTCGATCCGTGTGAATGTTTTTGCAGAGATCCAAATCAAAAGGTCGATCAAATCTAAAGGAAAATAAATTAAAGTAACGCCAATATGGAAATCAAAAGGAGTGTGAAATAAAAAGAGGATTTTTACATACTTTTTTTTTTTATTTATCTGGCAAGTCTTATATAATTCAGTTTGTTTTATTTATACACGTACAATGTTACCAATGTTATGAAAACAAAATTAATACAATTGGTTTGTTTTCCATTACTTCATTCAGTTGCAATAAAATTTGTCTAAATTCAATGCCATTTCATGTACAAATGAAAATTTTTCTAAAAAAAAAAAAATGTTCATCCTTAAAATGTACTTGTAAACACAAAATTCATTAAACCTATAGAAAAAAAGTCGCTGTTGTTTAACAATCGAAATTGTTTTGTTTTAGTCATCGTCATGAATTAAAATCAGACAACATCCGAATCGCTATGATTTACACCGATGTGGATGCGTCTCTATTGTGCATAATAAACGGCACAAAATGACTCAGAAAATGTCATAGGCAGCGTCAAGTATAAAACATACCCACGTTCATTGGAGTTTTGAACGGGCGCCTTTGACGCCTTCACATATCCAGTCAAAACAAAGCGAATTGGATGCGCCGTGATGAAAGGGATGTAGATTGGAGAATAAAATATCGCCCGCAAACAAAATGTGTAATGAACGATATGGATACCATTTTCCAGTTCGGAGTTCGTTTGAGACTTCAATTGTATTTTACAAATCAGTTTGCAAATTAAATCAAATTTGGAATAGTCTAAATGCTATTGAAGTTCTTTTTTTAAATAAATTTCATCATTTTTTTCATCAAAATATTTATTTTTTCCATTTTTTTGGCGTAAAAAAGATTACTTTTTTTGAGAAACTCAATCACACACGAACCAAAAAAATAATTGGATTTTCTTATTATTTTCATAAAATTAAATTAAATTTATCGAATTTTTTTCATTTGATTTTTCAGTTACTTCTTAGTCCATATATATCTATAGATATGCTAAATAAATGAGGGTGGTGAACATGGTAAATTGCATAGAAGTCTCAAATCAAATGAATGGTATCTCGATTTGTGTGTATCTTGTGTTGAATGTTTGATTTCAGGCATCGGTGCGGAATCATTTCATCACATTGAATCATTCGATCTTCTGGGCTCATGTGATAAGTATGATGCGTTTGATTTGCAGTCAACGAAGACTGACTTCTCTGTGTGCCATCGATAGTGAGCGATACACTGTCAACATGAACATAAAGGACGTCTTATGTACACGTACAAGCGAATGTCACTGCAAACACGATCTTATTGTACATCGCTTGGCAGCAGCGGCACAAAAAAATCAGTCTTTGCTCACTTCAAATCAAATGTATCACACTTGAATCGCAATAATTCGTCAAATCGAATGATTCAATGTGATAAAAGTATGCCTGTCCTTTTTTGTGTTTGTTTATTTGTTTGATGGGATCGGTTCGGTGAATCAGATAAAAAGAGAACATTTTACCGGCAGATTGAAATAAAACAATAATAGTGTTTTTCTCTTAACCATTTATATAAATGTAGAAGCTATAAGTCTATAAGTTGCTAAATGTTCGCCCATTATAAAGGGGTTTCCTACATCTCATTTTCGCTCTTGCGTGCGCGCGTGCTCGCACTCTCACCATCTCAATGATTCATATTACAACATTAGTATGCTTACATCTCTATCGTACATTTCCTTGTTTATGTCTTTATCGTAATTATTGTTGTTGCTGATTCATATAATTTGTTGTTGTTTTTTCTGTTTGCTATTCCACTTTCATACATATTACCACTATAAATACACTTGCGTCTAACTCTTAGTCCATATATATAGATTTATCTTTAATTTCATACACCTTGTGTGAAATGTTTTATTTCATTTCCAATAGTTGGTAGCTAATGATTCATTTTGCGCTTGATTCTTTGACATTATTTCTTCTTGTTTTCTTTTTTTTTCTTTTTTGTATTTACTTCATTCAGAGAGTAGAAGAAGAAAAAAAGTAAAATTAGAGAAATCGTTGCATATTTCATCTGGTTTTCGATCTACTTCCGTTTGAAATGTTGGTTGATTCCCGTTTACGGTTCATGTTCTATTATCGTTTCTTCTCCATTTTCTTTTTTCTTCTCTAACGTGAGTCCATTACAACACATTGGCCCAAGCCCGACCAAGGCATTTTTAATCAAAATATGCAATTTCGTTTTTAGTTTGTCCCTTGTGCATACTTTTTTTCGTGTTTTTTTTTTCTTCTTCTTTTCATTGTTTTATGAAGTCAATTTGGTTATAAATAATAATAATAATAATTTAATTATTCAATGTTCATTCATAAATATGTGTGTTTGTTTGTTTGTGTGTGTGTCTGTTGTCCTTAGTTATATGTTTTAATAATTAATCGAGAGAAAAGCCTTCTATAATGCAATTACATAATGTATGTATAATGTCTTGTCAATTTATCGCCTTTCCTCACACATTTCGTGCGCTAAATTTTTGTTTACTCCGTTATTCTTGCTCTCTCTCTCTCTCTCTCTCTTGCCCTTGCATCTGCTTCTGCTGCTGCTGCTGCTGCATTTTTTTTTTAGCAAGAAAGTGTGTTGTGTAATCTTTAGTATTCACACAGCTTCCAATTTTCTAGTTACATTTCATATTAAATTTTGAAGGTAATGCATAATAGTCAATCGTTCAACATGTGTTTTCGTTTTCTGTAAATGTGTATGCGGTTGTGTGTTGATGTGGATGTGTGTTTATTTTGGATCGATGTCGTATTGTTCCTAAAGATGCATTATTCCACCTATAAACCCTAAACTGTACTGAACACAAATATCAAGATGTGCTTGATACTTTACAATATCTATGTTGTTTGTTTTCATTCTTCAAAAATTGTATTTGAATTCCCCATTTAAACACACAATACACGTCCATCACATTGATGCGTGCGATACGCTCAAAACAATAGATTTTTTTGACTTGATTTTTCGAGACGTCGTTCATCACTAGCTACATAATTTTAGGAATTTTGTTTTGTTTTTCTTGTGTGTTTTTAACCATAATTCTGAATGAGAGAGTGTGTCGATGGTTGAGAGCCAGTGTCATTAGAAACTGGATGGTTTCTATGAACTGGACAAAGAGGAACTTGATGTCATCGTACTATTATTTTTTGGTACAGTTTCACTGCTGCTCATCGAATATGGTATATAAGCGATATTTCCGTTTGGTGCGACACCGCTGCTGAAATGATGCTGGTAGGCAGCCAGCGAATGGGTATCATTATTGACGGCACAATTATTGCTCAGGCCACTGTACAGTCCAATTGGTAACGAGGTCGGTGCAAAACTCTGTAGTACGTTCGATGCTGATTTACTATTTCGATGTAAATGAGCATGATTACCAGACAATGGTCCACCAATCGAACCACCGATCACTGGATTCGTTGTTGGATTCACAATGCCATTAAGCAGTGCACCGCTCGATGCTGACGAACTCAAACCGGACAACAGAAAATTGTACCGGGAATTTAGCAGTGTGGGATTGGTTGTTGTACTGCTGGTAGACAACGATGAAGACGATGGTAGTGATGCACTCGATACGGGATCACATTCCATTTCAAGTGGATAATTCGATGAATTGTTAACCACTAAACTATTTAAAGCTGCCGATGAAACATTGGGATTGTTGACATTGCTCACTGGTTCCATACTACTATTATTGGTGAGTGTTGGAATAATCGCTGCCGCTTGCTGTAGCGTTGTCGGCTGTAGCGAAGATGGATTATGCAGCGAATTCATCAAGTTGCCATTTTGCTCGGGAAACAACTTCATAATTAGGTCAATGCGTGCCGAACGTTGCTGCTGCTGCTGCTGCTGCTGTTGTGATGGTATTGATAGACCTTTAAAATATCATATATAATCAATTTAAAAAGGAAATGCAATATTTCTACTGATTTTAAATGCTACTATGTATATGTGTGTATGTGTTTATGCATGTATAGAAAGTTATTAAACGCTAAAGACAAATTGAATTTTCATCAACTACAAAATTAGTGAAATATTATAATAGAGTGGTCTGTCTATCTCTCTATCTCTCTACTGTCTATTCGAGTGATTTTTTGGCCGAGCAGCAATATTAATTTAGAATGAAATGTTGTTCGCTTAGTTCGGCTATGATGTGTGAAGTAGAAGCAAAAATAAAAATGAAAAAAAAAAACGATTTACGGTAAATAGAGCGAATCGTGAAATAGAAAAAACCACTAGACACTTCTTTTAATTATTTTGACAGTTTTTTCGTGGAACAAAACAAAATGAAAAACAGAAAAACGACTGTAATTTCAAAAGGAAAACAAAATTTCAACACACAAATTGCATTCAAAATGAACCACAAAGTATTAGAATGATCTTTACCTATGATTACGTCGGGTGCTTAATGGATTCTATCCATTTTTTTTTTTCGTTTACTTTGGAAATTCTTGTACGAAAATTACGTTCGGACGCAACTGAAACACCGCAGTATTTTGATTTGACTTTTATCTCAATTGTGAGCGGGGAGGAACATGGTGGCCAAACACACAATTTGATCATTGATCTCTTTTGAGGAATTTGATTTGTGTAACAGGGATTCGGTTTTTTTGTGGTGTTTTGCTAATTCCGATCGTTTCAGTTGTTCTTTTTTCTCTCTCTCTTGTAATATTATGTACGCTTTCATTTTTATGTCTCTCGCTATGAGCTAAAACAAGTAATTTTTTCTTTGCAATAATTAGTTTCTATCATTTTCTTTCTGTCCAGTATTTGTGTGTGTGTGTATGTGTTGATCTAAACGTTGAATTGATGCTGATTAATTTTTGTTGATGTGCCTGATGATGATGATGATAAAATATCCCGAGGCAGTGCAAGTCATCGTCGATCATCTATCGTTTTTTTAATGTGTTTTTTTTTTTTTAATTCATTGCAATTTTGTTTGTATGATTCGTTTTGTGTCATGAGTTGCAGAGTTAAGTTCGTTTTGTAATTTCATTAAAAATCGAGAAAGAAGAATTAATCAAATCGATTAGTATAAATTAGCATAGTTTTGTGTTTTGGTTAGTAACAGAAAGAAAAAAATGTTCCGATAACACTAATAAAGAAATGAAAACAATGTAACCAACATCAAAGACACCAGAGAAATAACAGAAAAAAAATTATAGAAAGGAATATTGCCACCGATTGAAATGAAAATGTAGCGAAATATAGAGAAATAAAAGCGTTTGAAAATGTTTGGATCAGTTTGAATGAATTTGTTTTTAAGTTAAATCATACTAAGCGCTATTGAAATGAACGAATCAAATGAAAAGAATAAACAAATTGAATTTCCAGGGCAATGACCACACGAGAAAACTAAAATAGAATCATAGTTGTTGCTAGGTTGCTGCAGCTCATTCACTCACCATGACTTTGTTGATCTTGTTGTTGCTGCAAGCTAACCGATGGACTTGTACTAACGGAATTCACTATACTCGCGGTGTTGGTTCCTTCGTCGGTGGTTCGTTTGAAAAAGTTATGTTGCAAGGCATAATACGGTGTGACGCGTGTTTTAGGATCAAAATCAAGCATTCGTAGTATTAAATCTTTGAATTTCAAGTAGTCCGATATTGAATGACCGGCTTCACCGGCTCTTCGACCACCCGGTCCACCCGATTCAACGCCCAAAATGTCGTGTAATTTCCGAGTACCGGGCGGTTTATATTTGCGCCCATTTTGACTCTTTTTCAGCACATAGCTACCATCAGTCACCAATTTATCGAAGAATTTTCGTGTTTTGTGCGCTTGATCGAGCAAATGTTTCGGTGGCATGCCCAACACTTCCACAATTTTGTTCATTTGATCGACTTCGTCACCGCCCGAGAATAACGGTTCGCCGGTGTGCATTTCAACCAATATACATCCCAATGACCACATATCAATCGCCAAATCGTATGGAATGCCGAGCAACACCTCGGGCGATCGGTAGAAACGCGACTGAATGTATTGGTATATCTGAGACACACATGAAAGAAAAACAATTAGTTGTGGTTTTAACATAGCCAAAAAAAAGAGATACTAACCCTTTGTCCTAATTGACAAGAACTGCCAAAGTCGACAATTTTAATTGCCGACCGTTTTGGATTGCATAATAAAATGTTTTCCGGTTTTAAATCACAGTGAATAATGTTTAGTTCTGTGAAAATGGAAACGAAAGCAAAAATGTAAATAAAATCATCCATCAAGTCAAGTTTTCACTAACACAGATAAGCCGCCCGGCAGAGAGATTTCCCGGCCGGTTGATCCGATTTTGTGCACTTACCTGGGGTACTTAGAAACAGTAACGCCGTACACAGTTGCTGAGCGAATTTTCTCGTTAAATTCAATGAAACACCTCGAAAGTTGGTATTGCGCAGGAGATCATATAAATTATAGGATAGCAATTCGAATACGAGGCATAAATGATTTCGCCACATAAAATGCCGCTTCAGTTTAACTGCGTTGTTGAAGATTAGGTGGAAATGGAAATATAGAGAATATTGATTGTGTGAGGAAATTGTTGTAAATAATGAATGCGGTTAGCGCTTGAATGTGGTTTGAAGCAATGCTACCAATGCTTACCGATATAATATTTGTTTTCAGCATCGGCTCGATTCATCATCTCCAGCAGTTTCACCTCGATTTGTGCTTGATTCAAGAACGGTTTCTTATTTTTAATTATTTTAATTGCCACGTGACACTGTTCTTCGTGGTCAAATGCTTTCACCACTTGTCCAAAGCTTCCTTTGCCTAAATTTCAAGCCGAAATGGCGAGAGAAAGAGAAAAGGAAAACAAACAAAAGTCATTCGATGAGTCTTGCTGTCCCAGAAGCATGTCCTTGAAAACGAAACAACAAAAAATCACTGTGGAAATTACCGATAAGTGAGTCGATTTCGTATCGGTCCAAGAACTTCTCGCCATTTTTAATGATATAATCATGATTATCGTCATCGTAACCATCGTTATATAATTTTCGTTCCTTTTTATGCGATGAATCGTCGCCCTGTGTTTGTTGTGCACGTCGCTTCTTCTTCGCATAGTAAACCTGTGAGCGAGTGTAAATAATAAAATTGGTCGAGATTTTACTTTGCGTTTTCGTGTATTCGGTTTATGTGGAAGAGGTTTTTTTATTTTTCCTTTCCATTGGCACAAATCAAACAATATGTTTCAAATAAATCATGGTAGATTATGCTTTCTGTCTCCCTTTTTCACGTGTTGTTGCAAATGAAAGAACGAAGAATGCGATATTTTTGCGCATTGTCGCGATTTCTTACCCGCAGATGAATAAATGAATATGGTTGTCTGTTTATTGGTTGGTTCATGCGTTCGTTCGGTGTGGATGAAAAATTTTGAATGCAATTTCAATGCATTTATGGATGCATTTTAAAATGTAATTCTTCTCATCGGTCTTTTTTCCTTCTTCGATCGGATGTGTTGCTTCGTGTACAAATCGATATTTAACAAGAGCACTTTTTTTTGTATTGAAATTTCATGTACATTGTATGAGCACTGACCTACCACACGGCATATACTCAGTGTGGCATCAACAGCAATATTGCAAGCCTCATCTATGCAGTATCCGATGTAGCTCGATGTGGAAAATTATCCGCACACTATCTCAACCGCACACACACACACGTACCACACACATAGATACAGTCAGTTGCGTTTGCACAGTTTCATTCATTGCTTCGTTTAAATGGAAAACACTTAGACGGAGTGTATCGCAGGCATTTTGAAATTAAACTCAGGCCCGTTTATTTACTTGGAAAAGATTGTGAATATTATGTACGAAAAACCATATAGAAATGGTTTTTCGCATCGAGAACACAGGGAGAGAGCGAGTTGGTTCCTGTTTTTGTTCGATGGTTATTTATCGAAGCGATGGTGCCTACTGCCGTGATATAGAGAAATTGAGCACACACACACACAGAGAGAGAGAGAGAGAGAGAGAGAGAGAGAGCAAACGGGCGAGATGCAATTTTCCATAGTCTCATTCTTGTTCGCCGAGACGGAAACGGTGAAATGCAGACACATTGAAGCTGCCAAAACTCACTGTGTGAGCTCACAGCATCAGCTCACATCGTGAAAAATCCGAGTGCTTTGTCGGTGACGGCGCTCAGGCTCCGAGCCTGTTCCCAACTCTCTTTCTCTCATCTCCTCTCTTTCCATCTCGACTGTATATATAATAAATCATATGAGATTGCATTCAATGTATATTTAAACAAGCAAATACTGCGGCTCGGCACTTCACAACATATACACATAATATCGAATATGTACAACGGTGCTTTATATAACAATCAAAGTTCATGAACCTCGCTGAATGCGCTTTAAGAGCACAGAAAATGCGGAAGTTCAATCGCACAGATTCCATGAGGTAGGACTACACACAAATGACGTATCAACTTTTGAGCTCGGCAAATGCGAAAAACTGAACAGCAGCAGCAGCAGCAGCAGCATCATCATCCGCTTGTGCATCAACGTCAACATCAACGTGCACAGAGAAAATGTGAAGAATTGAATGCCATTTAGGAGCAGCAGCAGCAGGAAAAAATTGAGCCGAGAGATAGTTGGCAGACAGAGATAGAGGGAAAAAAACGAGAGAATTGGCTGAGCACAAGGAAGAGAACGAAAAGAAATGAATATTATTTTCGCCGAACACTGCGCGATTCCCATCATTTCGACGAAAACGGATCCGTTTCTGCGTATTATAAAATCATTACGTTTATTTACCGATTGAATCGAGTGCAAATATGTGCATGACAATCCATTCAATTGGCTAATGGAAATTATCGGAAAATATTACTGGTAGTAAAGCGTTTGGAACGGCATCGGCATCGGCAGCAGCAGCAAGCACGCTTTATATATTGTAATGTCACATATTTTCCAATCCAAATCGAATCAGAAATCAATAGCCACTATAATTATATAGCCACTTATTTATATAGCAGCCGATAATTTTACAATTTGAAATGAAACAGCGACAATTGTACGCTTTTTTTTGCCTGGTAATACGAAGCAAATGCTCGGTGCGTCCTTTTTTCGTTATTGGAATTATCGAAAAATACAAACAGACTTAAATATATTGAATTGATTCAGATTTTTATTCCCTTGCATCGGGTGGTCCGAATGAATGGAATTCATTTTATTCATCTGCTTATCAACGCCATGATGTTATTACGTTCTTCTAAAATAAAGAAGATTAACATTGAGCTTACCTCGTTAATGTGTTTGTAAGTCTTTATTAAATCGACACTGAGTTTTCGCAACGGTGCTAACGATGGATCACGGAAATGCGTGGGGATACGTGCCTGCATCGCACGTATATCTGTCGACGATGTCGGACTATTTGTCCGCTGCAAAAGCTAAGAAGATTTTCGGTTATTTACAGCAATCTATGCACTCATCTCTTCACTTCTTTTCTTCCGAGAGTTTTTTTTTTCTTTTCTCTCTCCCACCCGCTCTTCTTCCCGTAGTCATTTGCAAGGATTCTTCTTTTCAAGGATCTCCGAGCAGAAGGAGTAGAGCAAAGAGAGAGCGAGAGAAGAAATAAAAAACCGAACAGAAAACGAAGAAGCTATAACAAGCACATATAAAATGAATGTTTCAGCAAAACTTACTTGGTGAACTGCATCCCGATGAGCAGCTGGCAGGTGTTCTTCGGCAACTAGACGTCCGTACAAAGGGGCATGTCGTTGACGCGATGCATTCGCATCTGGTCCAGCAACAAATGGTGCTGACACTGTAAACATATGCATTGGAAAATTTTCAATAAGAATTTTGTGTGTGTGTGTGTGTGTGTGTGTTGAAAATATCTTAGACATAAGACAAGAATGGAAAAAAATATATTAAATAAAATGAAAAGAGGAAGACGTGTGCAGACAATGTGGATGAAATTGAACGAAGCATCAAAAGTTGCAGAGAAACTTAATCCTCTTTCGAAGGAATTTCATTTCAACAAATGACGTTCGATGTCTATAACTTGCAACATTGTCGTTTAATCACTAAAGCTGAAGCCAAAGCGTTGTAACGAACCAAAAAAAAAAACAACGAATTTGGAACAATGGAATAAATTCTTTGGTACTTTTTTTCCCATTTTATGATCGATACGTGCAAGCAATCAAAAAGTTTTTTGGTTTAAATGGGCTTGCGTCAGGTGAACAATTGACTTTTGGGGCTAAAGTATTTTTCAACAATTTAAACTGTCAATTTTATGTCACACGACAATTAATCAGCTCTTTTTTTCCCCACTGTTTATTAGCTTCATTCATTTAATGAAAATTCCACTTGAATTTACATCCCCCATCCTCTCCAAAACCATTCACATTCATTCTCTGAATGCGGCTCAAACAGGGTTTATAAAGTTCATAAACTCACAAATAGAGAAAAACTAATAAAAACAATACAGTAATAGAAATTACAAACAAGTTTTGTCGTCCATTTTAATTAAAATAATAAAAAAAAAATCCAATTCATTTGTTGATATACACAGAGGATGGAAAAAAATTGTTTGTTTACATTGTTGAATCAGTGTGTATTATCTCATGTAAATTGTGCGTCGAGTTGAATCAACTCATAAACATTGAATGAAACCAAATGAAAAAAAAAATAGAAGAAGAAAAGGCGTGAGTGAATAAGGAGAGACAATTTCTACAATTTTAATTGGAAAATGGTGAAATATTCACACCTCATAGTCGAGTATAAGCAGCGACACAGAAAGTTATAACAACAGCAGTAACAACGAAAAAGGAAAATAAATAGTATATGTGGAAAGTGATGTTTGATGTAGCGACTAGGCAAACATAGGAAATCACTATTCCTTTTCTCTGTCATGCAATAGTAAATGGGAGCCCATGGCTGTGTGGGCTCGTTTTGCGTGTGGACTGTTTCGTTTTTTCTTTCTTTCTTCAAAATACGTTCGGAAATGTCTATTTTAATCCTCAGCTAATAAATAAACGCCATCTCCTCTTGTAGTATAAGTCGTAGCAAAACAATTGAATTAAATGCTCGGCAATGTTTGTCTCCGACTAAAAATAGATGGAAAATTGATTTGTTGCTATTTTTAGCACGAGAAAAACGTGGTCCAAATACAGTGATACAAGAAAAAGCATTGCATTTGAATGAAAACTGTGTACATATGCAAATTGTCGGAAAATCATGCGACATCAACTTTTTTCCGTATATTTACAAACCATTTTTGTGTGTGAAATAGATGGCATAGAACGAACGGAGTGGTCAGAAAACATGTTTCGAGATCAATGACATTCTTATACGCAAAGAGTTCATCAACATTGACGGTAAACAAATTTCGGCGAAGAATGACGAAACGAAAAAAAAAAGAAAGGGGCAGACTGGAAACTATAATAACTTTGGCGGATCTGCGTAGTATATGTGTGTGTGTGTGTGTGCTTATTTGGTTCTTTCCATCGTTTCGCTTCAAACAATTGTTTGTGACTGATTGAATTGGTTTCAGTGTGTGCGTGTGCTATTGGTGTGCGTGCGTTCAATATGTTTTGGTTTAACATTACACGCTCGTTGAACTGTCTCTGGCTGAATCAACCATAATATTTTGATTCCACGAACCTCGTTAAATTATGATTTAACTGAACCCAATAACTAGCCGAAAACAATTTTCAAATTTCAGCTAATCGCAAACGCTAATCTGTCTGTCAGTTTGCGAATATGAGCATAAAGGTGAAACACCTTAGAAGCGTACATCTTTTAATCTACCACTATTCCAACGCGATGTGGAATCATTGACTCTTCACAACTCGCAAATACTTTGGGTTTGCTTTGGATTGTTTCGTGCGAACATTTTTGCGCTCTAAATCATTAAATTCGCGGTTGGTCGTATGTTTTTTTTTTCTGCTTTCATTCTTTCCCTGACCGCGCATATATATTTTTTTTATTTTTCGGCCAAATGAAATCTGGCGTCTTTGTTGAAGAACATTCTTTCTGATTCTTCGTCTTTTTTTCGGTGTGTCCATTGTTTATGAATGTGAAACGTGTTTGGGATATTATTTGAAGCGTAAATGCATTGTTGTTCGCCATTCCCAAATGGTTTTGCTTAAATCACAGCGATGAAAATGCTCGCAAAAAACTTCGACGACGCTATTTTTTGCGCGTTTAATAATAAATGATGGTTTAATGAGACCAATTTGATATTCAAAATAGATAAATGATTTCCAATGTGGGGCGATATGGGCGCCAAAGTGGGAAAAAAAGGAACGAATCCAAACATTCATTTCGTATCCAAAATTATTCTAGATTTCGAATTCGAATCGAATCTCATCGAATAGAATTTCTGTTAGAGAGATATGCAGACGGTGATTAAAAAAAAATAGGAACACAATTCAACCGTCTGGCTTCATCTAAATGTATTTATTGGTTCAGTGGGAGAGGGAGACAGAGAGCGAGAATAGCATTTGGTCCGGAGTAATAAGAGGGCTAATATATAAATACAAAGTGAGCGCGAATTCGGTTTGATATGCAAAACAAATATCGTTGGCGAAGCTAACGAAAACATCACATAGAACGGCAGCGCGACATGAACAAAAGGATTTGAGTAATTAATTGCTTAGGTGAATGGGCTATTTCAAGGTCGATCCGGCATCTTATTTTTTTTTGTTCTTTCTTTTTCTTCCATGTGTCTCTCGTGTTCCCACATTTTGAAACTTAGAATGTATACCAATTATATATCTATAGTTTGGTGGTCTTTTTATTCCATTTCAAATTTGGTTCTAATTGAGTCAAGAAACCCCGTTTCTTTTTCTCCTCTTCTTACTCGCGTGTAGTTCCCAGTTATATAAATTATCATAAATTCAGGAAATTTAACGTCATACAACAAGACCTAGGGGAATTTATCATTCAATGCAGTTTGTATGATTGAAGTCTTTTTCCAAATTCAAACAATATTCTTATGTTTACACACAGATTCAAAAGATTCACTCAGATTCAACACATTACTGTGAACGAATCGTCATGAATATGATGAATCTGATGAATCTCGTGAATCCAAAATGGGAATGGCGACAGAACTGCCAGTCGCCAGCCATAATGGATTTCAGTAAACAAAAGATTCATAAGATTCGTAAGATTCACACCATTTGGAAAGTGAGTGATTCCCCTAGAACAAGACACATAGTCAAAGTGGTGATATAAATGCTTGAATTATTTTTCATGTATTTATGAAGAAACGGCTCAAATTGTTTTCTTTTGCATTCAACAATTTGAATCATTCGTTTCAATTTTAAAACCAACTAATTTCTCAATTTGAAGCGATCGGTGAATGATTTAACGACAGTGTCACACTCGAATGAAAAAATTTGCCTATGTATGGCTATGACGCGACTGCCCACTACCGCAATTTATCTAAATTCGGCTATATGAATCATTTATTGTGGCTGCTTGATAAATTAGCCCCCGAAACAGAATTGAACGAAAAAAGAGAACAACAACTCTTTGACTGTGTGTTAAGCAGCGACTTCAAAAGCAATGTGCTCAATTCCGTATACGTTCGAATGAGTCAAATAGTTGGCACGCTTTTTTTTCTCTTCTCATTTGTGTGTGTACTTCGTTCGCCTTTCCCAAAAATTATTTTGGTTTTTTTTTTTCAACTCGAATACATAACCCAACAACATCAAAACCGGATTTTTTTTATGCATATCGCCTTTAATTTTTCAATTTGGTTGTGTGATTTGGAGTTGACGACTGTTTCACGGCATTACTTTGTGTATATACATATGTGTATGCTATGTACCTCTTGCCGCCGTCATCGCTGCCGCTTGAATCGCATCATTAATAAAAAATTTCGTCACTCCAACGCAGTTAAAATAGCGTATTTTGCATTTTATACTCAAACATCAAAACACTTTTTTTTCCATATCAAATTGCATGAACTCGGTGAAAGAGCGAGAGAGAGAGAGAAAGAAACACGTTAAAGTTTTTATTTTCAGCTGTGTGTGTGTGTGTGTTTTATTTTTTCATTATTTCTAAACTAGCAAATAAGTAGCAATGGGAAAATTGAAGTCGATATTTTTGTCACTTTCTATCGATAATTCACTAGTTTAACAACATGCTATTAAAAGACCGTATCGTGCTCTGGTTGCCAAACAATTTCAAATGGGCACTTACGGAATTTTCCCGTTTAAACTGTGTGAGTTCCATTTATGTAACCATCAACGTGCGCGAACTCGCGTCAACGAATATGCTTAATGTTTGCTTTTCGATAATTTTCCGGTTTCGGAACGTAAATGACAGGTAACAAAATTGAATTTTTTTTCTCTTTCCGACGATAATACGAATTTGATGAAAACAACAACAATACCACCGAGTATTCAAACTGTTTGCTCGTAGAGAGTAAAGACACTTTGACCCAAATTTTTAATGTGGGCAGGTGAATCTTTCCTAGTTTAATAATAAATGGATGCGTAGGGAGAGTAATCCAAAGCCCTCGTACAATTATTGTTTACTAAAGGTTGACATGACAGTTGGAGTGAAAAGAAATCAACGTTTCAGGTGTGCCAAAAAGGAGTCATCGTTATTATTATATGGAGAGTTTGTCATCGAAATTTCATAACATTTTAAGCCAGCACACTTCACTGAATTCGGCCCCATTTTTAATTCGGCTTCGTGATGCATAAGCAGCCGAGATGAGACTTAGCATTTGCATCTGGCAAAAAAAAAACATTTAATATCCGCTTTGCTCACACGCTTTGAACGCGAACGCTTTTCGACGATCACTTCTCATGAATATGAAAAGGAAAATAAAAATAAGTCGGTAACAACGTAGACACAGATAAATGACGTTTGACCACTTCTACATGCATATCCGCGGCTCTCTCTCTCTCTCTCTCTCTCTCTCTCACGCGAATTGCGTGCTTAAAGAAATTCCGTCTGAAAGGAATTTATGTTGATTTATTTTTGTTTTCGCGTTTATTTATGTGCTGCAGTTTCAACATCGAGCTCTTTCGCGCCTCATTTCAACGGATTTTTTTCATCTCTATCTCTCTCTCTTATTCTCATTCAGTTTGGCTAACCGTTGGTCTCTGGCACTTTTACCCAACTTCTTCTTGGTATTGCGGTACTGTGCGATTGGCCAATTAATTAAATTAATCTCGTCTGTCAAAAAAGAACACAAAGTCGAAAATCATCGAATTCAACAAATAAATTGACATTATCCGTTTGGTCAGTGCACACCCAATCGCATCTATTTGAACATAAGCCTGCAATAATCCCAGCAGCGAATTATTCTGACATTTTCGATGAGACACACGATGATTGAATGTGTTGGTTTTGGGTTTGACCATTTTACTATTTTTGTCTTTTATCCTGAGTCTGACGAAGCGCCAAGATATTTAAAAACCCGTGCTTGTAATTATATGTATATGAAATTCGTTTCGTGGGTCTTAACTGACGATAGTTTGTTCACAGCTCACAAATCACAAGAGCAATCATTTCGTACGAAAATAGATTTGCGCCTAATTAAATACTACATTTCGTTGCACGCGTGTCTTTACTCTTCGCATTTCGCACAGTAATAATAATTGTTGAATCACTTGGTGCATTTGCACCCGATACAAAACACAGCCAAGCCGCACAACTGGCATGTGTTGGATGAAGATGAAAATGATTTGACGGTTCAATACCTTTGGAATTATAGTTGTTGATATACTCCCAAGGTTTTGGTGATTCGGGAGACAAATAAAGCACAGTCGCCGACATTTTATTTCCTTTTCTTTCACTTTGCTTCGAATAATAAAAACCGTTCAAACAATTTCTTCTGACTTTTGCGAAACAAAGGCATCAATTTCCGTTTACATTTAACTGCTTTTTCATTTGAAAAACTATCCAATTCACTTTTTTTCTCACTCGAAAACATTTACTTTCCAAAATACTTGTGTGCTCATCCTTTCGATGAGTTAGGTTTTTTTTCTTCGTCGTGTTTCGTTTCCGGCCTATTGTTTTAGTCTGTATGACGTGTTTGGTGGCGCGGCATGCTCATTTTAGAATACCCGTCCATTTATCGGTTATGAACAAAACAAACTGAATGAATATTTCAATAAAGCCCCCGAAAAAGAGCAAAAAAAAAATACACAAGACACAATAGCGAACGGTTCACTCGTTGAGTTGTCGCAGCCGCCGTCGTCGTCGCATACACGAGATATAAAGATGAAACTGACGAAAGTCTGAAGTGGAATCGGTGCCGTGAGCAATCCGATCCGTTTCGATGCGATGTGTGTGGACGTAGGTATAACAACAGTATAATACATCGCATAATGTGTCTCATATATGAACGAACATATTCAACAGACACTCAGATCGAAGCATTTTTATTACTTTCGCATGACAATGAAATCACGCGCGAGAAAGGCAAATGAAACGAAAGTGTTAATATGTAAAGGCGAAACGCGCCACTTTTATCAGGCAATGTGATTGCGAAAATTGCGAGCAACAATGTGCGAAAGGCAACTCTTGAATTGAAGACAAGCGAAAACAGAAAACAAAATAGTCCGACTGTTTCGGGGGAAAAAATATTTTGCATTTGATCAAACCGACTGCTAAGGCAACGACAACGTCAACGGCAACGACGACAGCAACGACAACAACAACAAATGGCAATGAACGATTTGCGATTGACGTCAAATTCTCCCATTTTGAACTGACACATATAGTAATATACGACGGGCCGTTATCGACTGGCTATTTGAATCTGTTTACGGCTTAACGCCTCTCTCATAAAGAGTTGTTCATGTTTCGCAGCAACGACAAAAAAAGTCCACCCGTGCAACGAAAATTCAAAAAGTTTAATGGACAAAAATCAACAAATTAGAAAAAGGGGTTAATTCCTAGCGGTGCTCTCACGCTGTCAAAATGGCGAAAAGTTTAAAATGTTATCGACCATTATGCGAAAAAGAAACGAACGCACGAGATGGAGCAAGAGAGCGGGTAAGTGAGAAAAAAAGCCAAGTATGCCGTATGTCATATTAAAGACTCTCAATAAATTATCTGTTGTCTGGGGTTTATGGAATTATTTAACGTATCGAACGGTTGTGTACCGTTTACTGTGTACACAGTGTGTACTGTACACACCGCAGTCAGTCTCGACCCATTCACTTCGTCACTAAGGGTATTCCCGTTCCATTGCATTTTATAAACATGCCTAAGCAACGAGGCAACCAGCGCACCGTCTATATGAACAGTCAGCGAAAACAGACGAGAGAATACAATATATTTCTTTTCGTTTTGTTCTTCTGTGCTTTTTTTTTCTCCTTTATTATTTTGATTCGGGTTTGTTCTGTTCTATTCATTCGTCTCTCACTCACACACTCTCTTGCACACTCCCTATTGCTTCGTTCGCTGTGTGTGTATTACGTGAAGGCGCTAAGGCAACATGGCAAAAAAAAGGGAGCACTGGTAGCAACAGCAGCAAGAAAATTCATGGCGAGAGAGACGGAGAAAAAGATTTTCATTCTTTCCACCATAGCAACAGCAAAACGCAAAACGCTCGACAATTTTCCAAGACGAAAATATGCGTTGTACGGCCGAGAAAATGGAGAAAGAGAGATGCGAATAATATTTCGGTCTGCACGCAAGCTGCCACTTAATTCGAGGTATGGATACAGATGGGGTGGATGATAAAATACATAAAATAGTCTATATATCGTACATTCAACTTAGATGTAGATATGCCTCTCTTTTTGGTTGGCATTTGGAGCGACGCATTTTCATCGACTTTTCGTACAGAAAATAAAGCATACACACTCATGTATACACACACACATAGATATATAGAGTGATATTCAACAAGAAGATGAACCGAGGAAAGAATGGCGAAAAATCAAGCTCTCAAGTGAGTGCGAGACATGTACACACTCTAACACAACTAATGCATTTTGCGAATTGGAAAATCACTGAAATCAAGATTCTTCATGATTTATCAAATGATGAAAAGAAAACGGGAAAAAATACAGCAAACACGTCTACTACGGGGTCAGGCACATCCAATCGAAAACAGTAAAGCAAATATTTTTGTAACATTCTAAACAAGCGAACTTGTTTTTATTTACATAAAGTTGTCATAAGTTAAATACAAGGATGGTGGTGGTGAGCACAGATTTGTCGAGAGATGCCCTGGGCATGGAAAATGTTCGATCTTGTAAACGAAAGTCAATGATGTGTTATCAACGACTAATAAACCACTATTACTATATTGATCTCACACACACATAGACGCACACACACAAACACTATATCGTTCGGTCGGTCGGTCGCCCACTCAGCCGATCACTCTCTACATCCATTCATCCAGATTTACTGCAAACTTTTGAACTTAACCAACAATTTTCTGCATATTATAAAGGTGTTATTGATCAATAAAGGAAGATTACATACGTTTCTGTTTTGTTTTATCCATTAGCATGCTAACATGGAAACTGGTCCCGTGTACACAATTGTTCGATGCAATTGTGACGAATGTTTAAGAAAAAGCGGATACGGCTATTTTGTTCTTTTTTTTCTTCTTCTTCTTCTAAATATACTTTGTAAGTTTTTAGTTTCGTTATTTCGTTTGCTTGAAATGCACTTTGTTTCTTTACTTTCTGTTCATTACGATTAAATTGTTGTGTACGTTTTATTTTAAGCACTTGGGTTTGTAGGGAGATTTTGTTTCAATAGTAAATTGGACGTCTTTGACTCTCTATATTGATATCAAACACGAAGAATTGACAAAAGATGCAGTACGATGGAAATAAAAACAAGTAACAAATGAAATATGTATATATAAAGATTTATATAAATTGGAAACACTGATGTAATCGCTTCGTTTTGATGGCAAACACAAAAAACTGGATCATATTGTCATTATTAATGCCATCACAATTGTAGCACATGTTCTAACTAACTTCGAACATTATAGAAAATCATGGTGTCACGGTTATTGAGTCTGTTTAGATGCTCCTCAAGTTTCGATGTCCAACGTAGAAAAAGAGATTGATTTTCACGGCAAATTGTTCTTCGGTTCCCTCTGCAAGAAAAAAAAAAAAAGAAAATCGACATAGGTTATTTAGTCTGTTATCAAACATGATATTGAATATCGGTAAGAGAATATTGTGAGCAAGCTTTGGCATCGTGTTGTGTAACTACTGTGTGTTCATATAACAACAAGGTAAGCATCGTTTTTGCTTGGTCGCTGAATTCTAGACAACGATATACAAAAGCGGACCAAATCAAATCAAAATCATACAGCCAAACTCATTATGACATAATGTGAAAGAATCATAAAAGAGAATCAATAAATTATGCTGATTTCATATCATATCGATAAATCTGTCGGCAAAATAAAATCGCATAGCAAACTGAAATGTTATTATTAGACCAAATCATCTTTTATTCCATTTTGGTTTATGTTTTCATCGCGCGTTCGCATTAGCGAACAAACAAAAAAATTCTTCTAGCAAAAAGAGACGCTGTATATTTGGATGTTGGTGGCGTTCGGATATACAGTTTTGTATTCAATCGTCGTTTCATCGGTTAAACATAAGTAAAGAATGTGAGTACAAAAAAAACTAATCACAAGAGAATAAACAAATTTCGTCTGTTGATTATTGTCGGAGACTTTGGATGATGAGAAAATTCAACAAAAAAAGAATCCTGATGAATTTTCGACGTACAATAATATTTTTTTGGTTTTTTTTTGTGTATAAGCACACAATTTAATCAGATCTCACGATTATGTGTTGACAAAAAAAAAATGTGACCTATTTATTTTCGCATAAACAAACCAGATAACAAACGATGAAATATATGACAAATGTTCTCATTTTTGGGTTAGATTTTTTTCTTTGACCTTAGTTCATTTTCAGTAAAAAAAAATTCGGCACCAAATTTCAAATTATAATTAATGACGATGATAGAGTGAAGAGCGTCAGATAAAAATAAACACTGTTCCGTGAGCGAGAAAAAAGCAGGCAGCTGAATGAAAGCTTGCTTGCGTCAAAATAAGATGCTATGAGCACATAAGCACACACCATGGGTTCGGGAGAATGTTTTTAAAAATATAATCATCTGTCGAATGAAATAGCTCAAGCAGGGAATTTCCTGATAACAATTGATTAGCGCAAGCTCTAATCATCAACGTCAAATGATTATTTATTTAATTTGAATTCCAGTCATTTTCTAACTGAACATTGAGCACATAGAAACCAATCTCTTTCTCCTTCTTTTTCTATGTATGTGTATTAAAATATGGTGCGAGAATGTCCGGCTTGTTATAAATAATAATATTAATCATACAATGTGGATTTTGTTTTGCTGAGCCAAGCTCAAGCAGAATAATGTCGCAAATGGAAATGGCCACATTAAAACGTCTAGAGCACCGAAATTGTAGTAGGAGTGTGACGTCAATGTTGTGCTTGTGTTATGTTGTGCTTCTTTTGATTCTTGGAATCAAAATAGTTTCGGTTGCTACCTCAAGCCAAATATTTTGATGACATGACAATTTTGGCCGACCAAAAACAAACCTTCAAATTAAATTTGCGTTGACTTTTAAACAGCTTATTATTATAAACGAAAGAAGAAAAAAAAAACAATGCAAACATTTCTCTTTTTTCGTCGTTTCTTCATTAACAACATGTTGATGATGTTTCAACATAAAACTGTCACATCGACATTTAATAAATTTAATTAACAGTGAAAGAGATGAAACGATCGTCACCGATGCAAACACACAATGAAAAATAACAAGCACATAATCTCAAGTGATCGCTAATTTTTGCATCTTCTTCAAAAATTGCTGACAGTAAGATTTTTATAGGTTGTTCTATTTAAATCATACTCTCCATATATATATATTTTTTTCTCATCTCGAATTACTTGAGTGCACAACATAGAAGCTGAACGAGCTGCAGCAGTAACAGTAACAGCAGCTGTTGTTGGGTCAACCGTTTTTTATTGTTGCTATTTTTGTTTTTATTAACAAACGACTAACTGTGGCAATGAATAAAGAATCCTCTTCTAAGTATGTTACCTATCATTCACGTCGCTGTTGAGATGCAATACGTTTGGTGCTTTTTCTGTTTCCTTTTGATTTTCTCTCTCTCTCTCCTTCTCTCGCACACTCTTTTTGCTTTCATTCGGAGTGATCTATAAAAATACTTATCATGGTGATAAACAACAATATCACTTCAAAAGAGTTTATCAGACAAAATTAAGTTGCGCATCGAGACAGAGCCCACGACGTGGGTAAACCAGTGAACGAGACAGAAAAAAAAAAATTTGCCGTATCAAAGCAAAAAATGGAAATCAAAAAACACCAACAACACCACCAACAATAATAATAATGAAAAGAACAACAAATCGCTGCTTATATTTATAAGCTGAATAAACGCGTTGTTGGCGCATAGATGACGGAATGCGCGCACTGATTGCCCACAACGTATATTTTAAATGAATTCAAGCCAAAGTCCGTCGCACCAAGCAACAGTGAACACCAAACAGAAACGAAAAAACAAATTGTCGAAATAAAAAGAAGAGTGCCGTGGCGGTTTCTTGAATAATATATATCAGGCAGGCAGTCAGACGTATAAACCCGAAATTCCGCAATCGCGAACTGTATAAAAGTCGCCGCCGCCGCCAACAAGCGAAGGAAAAAAAACCAATTCACAGAATGAAGAGAGAGCAAAAACCCTCTGCTAGATTACAAATTAATAATAAGAGGATGGCAAAAGGAGTGAAGATGAAAAAAAGTGTGTATCGAATGCTTTTCTTGGAACGGCCGCAGCAAAGAGCAGCGATAGATGGCGAGAGAGAGAGAGAGAGAGAGAGAGAGAGAGGGAAGAAAAACCATAATGCAAGAAGAAGTATAAAATTATAAACAACAGAAATGGTCGACAGAAGAGGCATTTTTCTCCGTATTTTTTGGAATGGCATTTTGTGTGTGTGTGTGTGTGTGTGGCATGCCTTCATTATAAATGGCAATTGTTGCTTCTTCTTCGTGGAAGATCATCATCAAAAAGGAAGTTCCTGCACCAAATATGCCCTTATTGTAGTAGCAGTCGCGTCAATGAAATCCTTTTTAGCGACCGTGGCCCGTTTTTTCTTCTTTGCCGTCGTCTTCATCATCTTCGTCAGCTTACTATATATATCACATACATTTCCTTTTTCGGCGCGCATTATATGAAAAATAAATGGACAATTGCGGGCCAAACAACTTATAAACAATTCTCGCATAATTATACTTGACTGTTGATGTTTCATTGTCCGCATACTGACGCAAGTTGCACATTTATATGACGCAGAACAAGTAATGACGAGGACGGCGACGACGATGAGTGTGATTCATTCGTCGTGACTTTGACTACTTCAATTGATTCACTCGTGTCTCGAGTGTGGTACATACAATAAAACCTGTTTTATTCGGTTTTATCTTCTTCTTTTTTTCTAATTCCAAAATAGATGTGTACATTTCCATTCGATTCACCAATGCTTTTAAAACAAAAGATATAGAAGGTGATATTGAATTTTTTTTTCGCCGATTATCAAATAGTACATGTAATTTTGTTAGCTTTGACTATCTCTATTTTATTTTCGTTGATTGATCAGTAATTCAATTAAAACTTTTCTAAAAGCATTGCTGTTGATCGAAAAAAAATGTATAGACATAAGAACACAAACACAAACGCGGACAGGGACAGTTGCTTGTCTGAATGAATGAATGAATGAATTGAATTATGCATATTTCCAACAGTGAGCGACCTAATTGTATGTTTCTTGTTTGAAGATAATGAAATTGTTAGCGGCAATTGTGCGCTGTTATGTTTTGCGGCTCTGTCTATGTGTTTCTCTCTCTCTCTCTACCTTCTGCTCTCACCCTGTGTTATTCTCCTTACGTTCAAGTGTGAATGGCATGCTCTTTCGCTCTATCATTGCCTCTGCCATTCACTCTCTTTCACGCTCGCTTCACATCGTATTGTACACAATCAAATATCACTTATACACTGACTCTACGAAAAAGAATTCGAATATCTTTGATACCGTTTTCAATTTTAGAAATAACGGCAGGTTGAATAATTGATTATGGATTCGGTAGCATTTTACATTTCATCATTTTCGAGGTAAATTGATCAATCAAATACAACTGATAACAATGCAATGGGCTTTTCGCTTTGTGATGAGAAAATATCAATTTGGTTTATTTTTAAATCCAATATCACGCAAAAACCTTTCGAATTCACGGAATTTTAGCTTCGTTCACAAGCGCGTTTCGTGTTGGAACATGCAAAAAAAAAAATGTGTATGTATACGTCTGCTCGTTTATCGTTCGTTCATTTTAATTATTTTCTCGACCACTTGAAATATGGAATTCAATGGACTTTCGAGTAATCATCATAATAATGAATATGTTTGATTCGAGAAAAAAAATGTCTGATGCAATCGCTGGAGGTGAGTGTGTTAGCCACGTGCTTAGATTTCAATGTTTTTGTTTATAACATGCCAGCCCAGTGTATTCTGACACCGAAAGAATGGCCAAAATTCGCCTCGCTGACAGAGACAGTGAAGAAAATATCGAGGACAAAGTCTCGTAGCGTTACGCGCACGATTTAATTTACGAAATGGATATGTTGGTGTGCAGGTGACAGAAAAATAAATGTCATGGTGAGACAAAATTGACACGAAATTCGCTGAAACTGTCGATATTTCAGCGTGTCACATTTCGCTGATGCAGAACACCAAGAATTTCTTCTTTCGTTTAATTCTATGGAATAAGAAGTGGCCGGAGATTCGTGTTCTGTTTTTTTCGTGTTATTCATGTCGAAAGAATACCATGAAAACTAATTTTGCGTTAGTTTCGATCGAATGGGAACGAATGAAAAAATAAGACTTTCAAAGAAAAGAAAAGAAAAAAAAAAGAATCGAACGGCGAATTTCATGCTTTGGTTTCAGTCATAAGGAGCGAATCGCATGATGTGAGACATGGATTTTGACTTTAATTCAAATACGAGAACATGAAGCCTGCAAACGAACCGACTTAGTTGACCATCTGAATCTACAGTCGGCCACAGCAATGAACGTGTTGCAAACGGAGACATAGCAGTAGCAACAACAATGCCACACCGCCAACAATATCAAATTACGGCGCTGTACATACCTTTAATCTGTGCATATCTATCTATCTATCTGTACAGCTCAAGCGAGAAATGTATCGAGCATATTGTATAAATCAGGCTTCCACGTATCAAATGAATCCGCAAATTATCGAATTTGCGATTTACATCGAAAACGCTTTAGTCTGAAGTTAATTCGCATTACGCATTTTATGTGTTAGTTCTATTTTGCTATTATTATTTTGTGTATGTGTGTGTGTGTGTGCCAAACAATACACAATCGATCCAATCGCATGAAAAGCACTTTCGTGCAAACAATATGTGTGCGATTAGAATTTTGTTTGGTTGCCGTAAGGTTTGCAGTTTTATTATCCACATATATATATATGGTTTATCCAGTTGACGGTGGCCAGTTCACTAACCGGACAGAAATTCACATACGAAACTGATTCACACGCCGTGTTTTGGGGCAAATATTGTGTGTGTGTGTCTCTCTTCTTTTTTCTTTATTTAGAAAGTTGGTGAGATTCATTCTGTTCACCAGCATAGCGAAAGGTTATATACACACACACACACGAGAAAGATAAAAAAAAGAGCAGCGAAAAAGAAAGAAAATAGTTTTATTTGTTTAACAAAGCAACAAATTGTTATGTGGTAGCGTCTTTATAAATTTCAAATTGTAGGACCTCTTTTGTTTCTGGCAAATGGACTTCATTACGAATGAAGAAGAAAAATATGTGCAAATCAATGGCATTGTTTGCGAATGTACCTCTGGTTTATTCTTTTGTTTGGCCGTTGTTGTTGTTTTTCGCCACAACACGAATACGAAGAGGCAGACGAAAGAATAAGCGGGAACATTTTCGAAGTTTGGTTCGGAAAGTGTTGAGGAAATTTTTTTTTTGATTAACATGCGTACACACATAACCAAAAGCGATTTTAAGATGTGAGCGCTGAGAGATTGCCGAGTGCTGAGTGCCGGGCTAGTGATGGCTTCGAACGTTCGTTCGACAATTTGAAAAAATATTTTTTTGTTCGTTCGAAAGTGTTCGACAGCCAACACTATGCCGTGCCCAGCACTGATCCAAGCTTAACCATTGGTATATATGTCATTATTAAAGAATATCACGAATAATGGAACTGGAACGGGACAGAGACGATTCCCCGCGCACAGCACGGGCTCTCGCACTCACCAACCAACCAGCACACACTCTCTCTCGCTCTCTCACACACACACACACACACACACACACACACACGCCACTGCGAAATAATAATAAAAGTAACAATTGTAATAATAATGCGAAGCGATCGTTCACCTTCTCTGTATTTTGCTTCTTCTGTTTGTTTCTTTTTTTTCCCTTTGCATATAAACTCTTCTATTTTTTTTTTCTTTCGTGTACGTTCATTTCGTGTTGTATATTTTTCTTCGATTCCAAGTTCCTCGCTTTCTATCTCCGGTTTGTTTTTGTTATCCGTATTCTTTCTTACCACTATTTCACAATATCAAGCACACAGACATCGGGCTATGGAAACGCCACACACGCACGGACATATACATGCATATACATGTATATACATATATAGATAGATACGTTCGGCGTGGCTATGTAACCACAGAGATTCTCGTGTGTCTCTTTTCTCTCTCGTCGATTCTTTTTTAGATGTTGCTATGTACGCCTTTTTCGGTACGTATGTTCGCCTGGTGTCTACGTATGTGCATTATAGCATTCACACTACTCATCGGGCTAATGTACTTTTTTCTCCTTCTTCTTCTTCTTCTTCTTCTTCTGCTGTATTTTCGTGGATATCAGCAACGTGTACCGAGAGTCAGCCGAAGACAGAGAACACAAATTAAAGTGACGAAACGAATGAAAATAAGAAGAGGAAAAAAAAGAAAAAAAGAAACGAACAGTGGAGAGAAGAATTTGATTTAACGAAAATCTCGAAAACAAGTTGTCCACGTAACGATTTTATGAATCGTTAAACCATTCGAATGTGTGTATTTTGATTCTCTCTTGTTTGCGCGCCAGATCTCTCGTTTATTTTGTATATGTACGTATAAAATATTGTTCACTCTTCTGGTATTCCGTGGTTCGAACAGAGAAAAAAAAAAACGTGTTTTGATGTCGTCACATTCAATCGTTCATTCACTTTGGCTCCAAATATTTTCGTTGCTCGGCATATGGAAACCGCATGGGTTTTGCTCTCTCCGTTCGAAAAACTTCTGTTCTGTCGTCAGTGCGATATTTATTGACATAAGAATGCAACTTTATCAGCAACAGCAACAACAGCAGCAACAACGGCGCAAGTTTTCTCTTCTTTGCTTTTTTTCTCTATTAAATTTTTTCATACACAGTTATAAACAGCCTGATAATAATGCAATGCTACTCTTGAATCATTCATTCATTCATTCGATTTCTCTCTCTATCTATCTATCTTTCCCACACTGCCCCATAGCACAATAAACATCCGCTTCTACTTTGAACTGCAGCGAATCATTAGAATTCGAATGATATTTTCATGATTCGTATAAGTAATAAAATAAAAACAACAACTCCAAGACTCATGAGGTTGGCTACAATGAGCGTACACACAGCAACAAACACACCGAGTGCTGCTCGCAGCAAATATAAATGACGGGCATAATGTATACGTTGACTCACAATGGCAAAGGCGCTCGACGACGACGACGACGACGATGATGATGGACACGCAGAGAGCAACGCACTTTGAGAACACACACAAGAAAACACGGAAAAAATATAAACAGCCCAACTCGAAACAGAAAAAAAAAATCAACAGAACAACAACTACAGCAGCAGCAACTGTAGAGCACGAATTCTCCGTGTGTAATCACTATCAAATTGAGGAATACAAATAAGCGACGTCGTTGCTAGCTTAAATTGCTCGGTGTGCCGATCTCACTTCACACATCTTATTTTTTCTACTTCTTCAATATACCGCGTGCCGTATCTTCTCGCTGAACGAGAGAGAGAGAGATAGAGATGGGGAGAGAAAGGGCTAGAGATATTTTCTCGTGCAAATCCAAGCCGTTCAATACACTTTCAATTGGAAATAGTTTTCATTTTGGATGAAATTAGTGATGACCCAATTCCGAATGCGGTTACTTTCTTCTATCTTTTATTATTCGTTTTGTTGTTGCATTTTCTTCTTTCATAAATTTGCGACGACGTTAGCGAAAATGTGCGATACGCAAAAAATAAAAAGCGATGTAATGAATCCGAAATAAAACCCAAAAAACAAATTTCGATGGCATGTTTTTTTTCGTTCTACTTTTTCATTCGTCACAACGCACGAGATCTCGGAAACGCACCGGAATCAGTAACGACCTCAACAACGGCAACAGCAATAGGCCATAAGTTGACAGACTTAATCAAAATATACATCCACAGCCTCAAACGAAATAAAAATAACAATAATCAACGGTTCGTAATACACAAAGTGAGTCTTAGTCACGCCAATTCACAAATATCACTGTGCATTCACAAGCATGTATTTTGGCTATTTTAATTGGCTTATTTGGTGTGACGAGAGATAAAAGTGCGCGTGATGAATATGGTGTTTTCCATCGAACAACCAACCAACAAACAAAGACAACAATCATAAATATGCAGCATCCACACCAACGAAGAAAAAAAAGAGTCAAAATCAAGTTAAAACCACACTGAACTCACTTTATTATGAATATTCATCGTTGCGAATATGTTGTTTAGCGAGCCTTTTTCATGATGAGCTCGGTCACAGAATCAAAGAAAGAACTAATAATAAGTGCAGTAGCCACACTACCACGAAACACACAAAACCGTACGTATTATTACCAGCAATATGTGTTTTGTTTGATTTGCTGCTATCAATGTAAAGTTGTTTCTTGTTGACGTACTTGGTTTTGTTTTATTTTTATTTTTTTCTATGTTTTTTCGTCGTCGTCGTAATTTTCGCGTTACACACACTCTTCGCTCACATTCATTAGGTTTGTTGAAATTGAGTTATACGCAAATAATAACATACTCTTTGTCACACTAATTTCTAGGAAATTTCATATCATCGATCAACACTTGGAATGTCAAATATGAATATACGTTGTTGTTTTTCTTTTTTTTTTTTGCTGCTTCTATTTTGTGTTCATCGTCACGAGCGAAAGAGCCAGACACACACTTTGATCAAAACTAAAATTCACCCACATCGATTTATTTCGCAAGAAAATTCGCTCACTTAAACACGAAAACATCAAAATTGCTAGCAATTTTGTGCATTGTTTGTAATAAATTCAACAATTTTCTCTAATAAAATAAATACGATTTTGAGATGAAATTCATTTATTTTTCCCGTTTGCTGCCACACAGGTTTTTTGACAACTGAATCGCACACACTGAATTTCTGACGAATTTTCCCACTGCTTTTCAACTATTTCACAAATTTACCAAGCAATTCCACACAAAAAAAAAAATACTTTTATTATTCAAATGGGCGATACGATGTTTATTTTTTTTCTGTTTTTTTTTTTTCACTTTATTTTCGTGTTTATGGCGATCCAAATTACAAAGTTTGTATGAAACTGACTTAAGCTCGGGACGAAGACGAGCTCTGTGTTGCTATATTGCTCATTTACAATGAAATTAATTTAATAAACATGGCGATGTCCCGACAACGACAAAGACGACGAATAGCTACATGATAAAAGTGGCGAAGACAACGACACAACCGAACCGATTCGCGTACATGTGTTTGTGTCAATGGAAATTTTGAACAAAAATTGGTTTGTGCCGTGTTCGTGTGAACGTTTTGTTGATTTCTTTGGAGCGGTTCATCGGTTCGATTGGAACGGTTGCGAGAAATGCTGCTTACATTGCTGTATCAGTCTTCCAACGCTTTCATCGCCTACGGTGTGTGCATGCGTTGTGATTTTTTCCCGCTAACAATTCAAACGCTGTGCGTTTGTACGTCATTCTGAACATATATATCCAAACAAACAACTGTCTGTGCGGAAAGCGAACACTGTGCCCCAAACACATTTGGTGATTTTCTTTCGATTTCGGATGTCTTAAGGAACGAAATTTATTTGCTAATAAAATATCTAGATGAGAATGAACTTTAATTTTGCGTCAATTTCATTTGATTCGTGTGAAAAACTAATTTGTTTACCAAAGAGAGACTGTGTCTATGCATCAATTGTACTCTTTCCATAAGTCAGTGTCTACTTGACACAATCATCAGAATTATCTATCAAATTTCTTACCTTTAACCTCCAACTAAGTTATAGTTTGTTGAAAAGATGAAATTGATCGCATATGAATTCAATATTCAAAGGAAGAGATTAATATTTTGGAATGGTATCATGTCATATCACATCGTGAGTCAGATGGTTGATTGGGCAACACTAGTTCAGCAGTTTTCATTTTCTACTCATGTTGATGAACCGATTCGATTATTATTGTTATTATTCCAGTTGCACTAATACACGCATACGTCTGCCACTACCGACGCCAACCAAAACACACGCACACATTCGGAACGCACAGACACAGAATATAGCATCGGGCACATATATGTGGATATGTTTGAATATACAAAACTCTGCTGCATATCTATGTATAGCATATGTATAGATGAAATTTATCGAATCTTGTCTCGCAAACACACACACACACACTCTCCCTCTCGAATAAGTGTAAATGGCATAAATGTATGCGATCGCGCTAGACAACAAGCAATAATATTCTGAAAATGGAGAGGAGCACCCGAATAACACACACTGTTTATTTATAATGTACGACGATATGCGCGCACTTATACGAATGTGGCATGCAGATACAGAGCACAACACATAGCAAGACGACCACACAACGGCATCAAATTCACAAGTTGAATAAACTCAAACATGTCTCAAACACCTGCCGCAGCACAATAAATTGTCGCTACCCGTACACTTTGAATCACAATCCACAAAATATACTCTCTATACTCTTCTATCCCGTAATGCAATATGTTTTGTTGTTTTTTGTATGCGAATCGCAAGTAAAGCATAAACAGACCAATTAAAAAGTAGCTGATGCAAACACATTGCTGTGTTTATTCAAATGAGAAGAATAAACAGTTACCAATTTTCAAAGAGCCATGGACAAGATTCAGATAAAGGGAATTGAATTTTTATGCTTACCATGACAAAAATATAAGCTCTGGCGATTGAATGAATTTTGCTGTTCTAATGCTGACCATAAATCTGAATATATAAATATGAATTTAATTTCGATAATGATTTCAAAACAAAAGCAGCTGAAAAAAGTAATTACCTATGGAAGAAATAATTTTAAATGATTTTATAAATACACATGAAACGTAATTTTTTCATTCGAAATGTTGTCTTTTTTATTTGCATTACATACAGATTTATTGGAAATCCATTAAAATAATTTTTATATAGTGACAGAACTCAGAGGTCACATTTTTTTGGTGGAAAAAACTCCAAGCACTAAAAAAATGACAAAAAGTCACACTATAATCAAAATGACCATATCAAATGTATTCTGTGAATCATTTCATCTTTTCATGAATTTTGGCATAGTCACATTGATCATCAAAAACTGAATGATTTCATAAAAAAATACTTTATTTTGATTAGGCTTTGGGAAAAAGGGCTTTAACATTGATTGAAATGTAAAAAATATAATATTTTCACTTCTGTGTGTGTGTTATTTTTGTTCTTGCGAAAATAATATCGACTGGATACGATGTACATAGATTTTTTTGTTGGAAGTCATGTAAACAACGGCAATCATTCAATTTTTCTTCGCACATGATTTGTCATCAGACGACATGAAAAAAGAAAAAAAAATGTTGATTGCCAAATGCAATGCATGACTTTAACATCTTATTAACTTATTTTATGAATGGCTTGAAATACATTAAATCATTTGAAATGGGTTTTTGTTAATATGACTGCATTAGAATCAACCGTTCAGCGGGATCTATCGTACAAACTGCAGTCAATATTGACAAAAAGTAATGAAATCCGTTTTGATGAGACAAAGTTTTAGCGCCGTGCGCCTCGGTTACCGCCACGGAAAGCGCCTCGTCCACGCCGGTTGATTGGACCACCACCACCACCACTGCCTCCACCACGACCCATATTGAATGTGTTAGACCGTTGCAACTCTCTTTCTCTTTCCTCTATCTCTCTGAACCGTAGCTCATCTTCCATTGCCATTTGGTTTGATCGTTGTTGAAGACTTGCCTGTATGGCTAAGCGTGCATTACGTTCGAATTCCATTTTTTCATCATAGCGCCTTTGGTTCATTTCCAATTCCAGTTCACGTTGTCGTTCCATTTGGATGTATCTTTGTCGCTCCATTTCATCTTCATCGTCTTGGGTGAGTTGCGGTCGACGTGGAAACGGGCCATCCGAGAAACGTTGACGGTCATCTATCATATTGCCGGCGCCGTTGCGTTCATTTCCAAAATCATTCGGTTCGAAATTTCTGCCGAAACTACTTCGATCGCCATCACGTGAATTCCCATTGAAACGTGGACTATTTGAACGACGATTAAAATCTCGCGATGGACCAACGCCATACAAACTATCTCTGTCTCTACTCCTGAATCGTTGCCGTTCAATCAATGGTGTGTCATCCATATCATTATCCTCAGCTGCACGCACAGCATCGGCATCGCGTTGTGACAAACTATAAACATCCATTAATTTCTCGCGCATATTGAACATTTCGTCTGTATTTCTTGGCCGCGGTGCTTCAACAATATTTGCAAAGTCTTTGATTGCAACCAATTGAGCGGCAGTCATGCGGCTGAGCAGTTCAACAATTGGTTCGCGGTAATCTCGTTCATTCGTTTGTACACCGATCGAAACACCCCGGATGAATGTCTGTGAGTGTTCATTCACCATTATACGTTTGCTTCGTTCGGTGCATTGTTGGCACTTGAATTCGGCCGTTTGTGTTCCCATTTCAGCCATTTCGACTACGGGCAACGGAAACGTGTTCGTTTGTATTAAAATTTCACCTTTGCTTGCATCATTTTCCATTACTCTGGATTTGATTTGATCGGTAATTTGTGCGTTGAGCTCTTTAGTGCGCATTTTTTCAAACAAAAACACACTGTTGATTCCAAGCGATTGGGCAACATCTTTTACTCGCCTCGGCAACATTTTCAGACCCGCATTTTTCAACGGCACATTCGGCGGTTGATTTAATTTGAATGTGGCATTGAATGTGGAATGTGCTTGAAGTGGTGATTTATTCATCATATTGGTGGCTAAATCGTTTGAATTGGACACAACCATCGAAGTGCGATTGTATAGAAATTTCATAACTGGCACCTTGTTATCCTTGGCTCGAATTAGTTTGATTGCTTGTTCACAACGATCAATCAATGCTGCAAAACATAGTTAGATTTATCGTTTGATTCCAATACGAAGAAGGAAAATGGTTTTGTTTGTTCAAATTTTCTACTTTGTTAATTTGCTTTGGCATTCAAGTGCACTTGGCAATCAAAAATTATCCAACTAACTAATTTCATGTAATTTCATCCCTTGGCCCTATCAACCCTGTCTCTGATTGCATAAATTCAAAATGCATCAAAAATATCATGTCAAACGGACGACCCGAATGAAAACACATACCTTTTTGGTTATTCGACTGAATCGGGTCAATCGGTTGTGGTAACATGTGTGGATTAGCCACCATTGGTAGAATCTCAGGCCCTGCACTAAGACCGGGGAACTGGAATTTAGAACAAAAAACGAACAGTTTAGAAAGTGGCTCTTGTGTTGTTAAAGAACAATTTGAATGTTTCACTTACCGGTGCCAAATTCGGTTGCTGTTGCGGAACAGGAACGGGATTTCTGGCCAAAATGCTCATCGGATTCACGCCATAAAACATATTCTGTTGTGGTGGGAAAGCCACTTGTTGCTGTGGAAAATTCGGAAGCGCAATCAATGGTTGCGACTGATCGAATGGTACCCCATTTCCGAAATCCATTGGGATCGGTGCATTCATATTACTTTGAGCACCCATCAATAGAGCATCTTTTTCTGGAAATGCTTGTCCTTTTTCGGCGAATTTTTGCGCCAATTCTTCCAAAAATGATATGTTCCTGTGTGTGGACGATGAGCGTTTCGTGCAACGTTGCATTGATTTACTTCTGCTTCTACTTCTACGCAGTGCACGACCTCTTACCGGCGACAATGGATATCGTTTCTCTCGGATACGCTCATCATACCGTGAATGTCTGCTGGTGTGCGGACTGCGTGTTCGACTTCTGCTCCGCTTTCGTTTGCTATCCTTGTGACGACGTGACTTTGACCTGGAGCTGGAACGAGAGCGTGATCTGGAGTGACGATGAGATTTCAAATTTGCCTCAGTTTCCTTAATCTTCTGCTTTCGAATGTTGATATCATTTTGTATGCGATTAATTTCCGACACATAATGCAATAGCTCTTCATCGCTCTCGTGTCCACCCTCTTCAATCACCTCATCGATGAAGTTTTCATTTGTCAATTCGTTGAAAAAGTCATCCGGTAATTCATCGATATCTCCACTGGGATTCGGCATGTTTTTCTTTCATTTACAACGAACTTACGTATATACCAGCAAAAAAAAAAAAATCTGCGAACAAAACTGCTCGAATTCTTAAAACTATGCTAATGTTCAATGTTAAATTATTAATGTCCACAAATTGCCACCGATTTGTCCGAAAAAGAAACAACAAAAAATTGAATTAACGCCTATTCTACGAGAATACCGTATTGTTTGCTACGATCACATTGACTGAGTGTGGTGGTAGTCAAAAGTGCACACCATCGAAAAATGTGCCTATCGTACAAACAACTGTTTTTTCTTCTTAACTTCAGTTCTTCGATCAAATGATTGCAAAATTGGTTGTCGCTTGAAATATCTGTTGGTTCTTTATGTATTGGATAAATAAGCGCAAAGAAAAATACACAAAATTTGTGACTAATTTGCGAAATTGGATTCGTTTTACTGCGTGCTTTGGATGTAGTTTTTTTTTCTCTCTATTACAGCAGCTCACGAGTAACACTCAATAAATGAATTGTCAAGCAACCAATACTTATAATTAAAACTTTGTTCACCCATTCGGTTCGCTAGCTGTCATCTGTCAAACTGAATCTGTTCGACATGAAGTTGGCTCGAGTTTTTTTTTTGCGCCGTTCAAAACTGACTTTCAAATTTCTTAATCTTTTCTATATTTTTAATTACCCAAACGTTATAATAGAATAAATGCAAACAAAAACTCGCCAAGTGCAACGTCTCAAAAATCACTTTTTAATGTAAATATATGTATGTAAATTGCAATATGGTTAAATATTGGTTTTATTTTCTATTGTTTTTCTATTGTTGTTGTTATTCTTTGTGTAAATTGATTGTTCTTTGATATTTATATGGGGTATTTATTATAGGGCCAATAAAACGTATTATCATCGTTATAATCCAGCATTCGTTCCAGTAAAAAAAAACATTTGGTTATTAGCCGAGTAGAACTTTTCGCATCATGATACCACTGGCACTTAAGCTAGAGCTTGGCTGTGGCTCAACATTGCGGTTAACACCCTCAATACACCTAAAATCACATCATTAAAATTTCGTTAAATTATGACACAATATAAATAAGATATTATTCGGCACATACTTTGACGAGCATAGATATTGCAGTAGCGGTACACGGTATTTTCCACAAAAATCAACAAATTTTATGTGCTCAATGCGATTATCGAAGAAGACACCTATAATCGAGATATAATGACAAAATTAATGATAGTATATGTATATATTTCGTAGAATAAATAATATTTTGGGCCAGACATCCGAAATGTACCTTTGCATTTGGGATTGACGCAGCAATGAGCCGTATTCAAATAGTCACGCATCGATTTGGGCACTTCGTTTGGTTCAAATATTACATTTGATGTACGGATTACACGAGCGGCCAACTCCAGCAACGTCGGTGGATGCAATGATATTTCCTGAACGAAACGCACAACCAATGGATTTTCTCGCAACGAGAGCTAAAACACAAATAAAATTATGAAACATTCATACATACTGAATGATAAGTGTCCAATGCGTTTTCTTTTTTAAATTTTGATTATTACTCACTTCGACTAGATTTTTCAACGTTATAATGTCACGCGGTAAGTGGCGCAATCGATTTTTGTGCAAAAGCAATGATTTTAGATTGGTGAGACGTGCTATGCTGGCCGGTAGTATTTCAATTAAATTATCACATAAAGTCAAGGCTTGCAGTCCAGCAAGATTTCCAACGGTTTCAGGAATCTCCGATAGTAAATTTCCGCCCAGAGATAATACATTTAAACTAGAGCCAGCAAAAGAAAAAAAAAAAAAACGAAACAGAAAAAGCGAAAATGCAGAAAATTAATAAAACAAAAATGCAAAAAACTAACTATCTTGGGCTAATCTGTTCGATCTGTAGCAATACGTAGAAGTACGTAAACAAGTCAACGAAAAATAAGAACAAGTTGCACATCGAGATTGTGTGTGCGAGTGTGTATGTGTCCATATGTGCGGAAGAGGCAATAAAAAAAAGTGGTTTTACTAATTCGGTTGCAAAATGTCATGAATATAGTATTGACAATATGGGTAACAACTAAGTATGCGCGCCGTGCTACGGTTCATATCACATGGCAAAACTAACTGTGCGCGACGAAAAAACGATAAACAAAACCAAAATCGTGATCGTCATACACACACACACACATATATATATATACATATATCATATGTTTGCATCGATGTGCTTACCTTTGCAGTCGCCAAATGTCCTTTGAGATGCTTGTGATTTTGTTTGCGCCCAAATACAAGTATTTCAGGTTGTTCAATTCGAGTACCGCTTCTGGAAAGTGTGTAAGCAGATTGCCGCTTAAATTCAATTCTCTGAGACCATTGTGTTTGGCCGATTTCAAGCATTTCGGAATTGATCCATTCGTCAATAGGTTGTTCTTTAGAATGAGCTTGGTGAGCGGGCATATTTGTAGTAAATCTGGTGGCAATTGCGTTAAACCATTTGAACTGAGATCCAGCACATGCAAGTTATTGAAACGCGTCAATGTGTGCGATGGTAGTGTTGCAATCAGATTGTGGTTGAGTAACACCGTTTCGATATCCGTCAATTTACTAATTTTATGCAAATGTGTTAAGTTTTCTTCCAAGCATTCGACTGTCAAACCCAAACGACCGTAATCGAGTGTTTTCTGTTCGTGTGAATCGCTATCGCTGCTGTCCGATGTATAAACTTCCATGTTTCAATTGAATGGCACCAAGTGTAAACAAGTCTATTTTCTATCGAATATTTTAAATCTTTTCAGCTCGCTGATTTTTTTTGTTTTGGTCATCTATCTAACACATAACACGCATTAATCCAGCTAGTGCGCAAAATATGAACAAAACCGGCAACACAATCGACACACAGATTTTTTTTCCGCTCCGTCTTCTTAGCTGTTGTTGTTTTTTTGTTGTTGTTGTTGTTGTTGGTTGCTCGAATCTAGCTTATTGAACGCTTTCAACCGGAGAGTGAACAACACAGCGTACACAACGATATGATGATTCAAACTATCTGCTTGAGCCTGAATCGCGCTTTGTTATTATACGCTCACTCCGATGTGTTGTTATTCAATCTGTGCTATTTATTAATATATTCAGCAATTTAAACGCGCCGTTGTTTCGAAGGCGCAATACGCAAGACGTTTAATGTCATACGAATCCGTTTTCGACACACACACACCGTACGTGCTATGGTTTCTCAGTGTGTATTCAGCTTCTGATAGCGAGACATTCAAAAAAATTGCCCCACGAATTCACACACACACACACAAACAATCAACCGACCAAATAACATATGTATTTTATATATTCTCTTGTTGAAGATGATTGTTATCGATAAACGTTGACTCTCTATTGTCACCCTCTTCTCTTTTTTTGCTCCTACTTTGTCTTCTTCTTCTTCGTACTCGGCACTGCTCTCGATCTTCTGCGAATTACGATTATGCAGTTCAAATATTTGAATGCGGTTTATTGATAAAAAAAATGCCCAATTCTTTTTTCTCTACTCATATAACAATAATCGCAATTTGTGTTGAACGTAACAAAACCAGCTGGATATTTTTTTCCCCCCGTTCTTGCTGTTATTTATCACAATTTATTCACAATTCGCTTTGCACTTGCTTTGACTTTTCAACACACTGAAAATCAAATTTCTTCTGGGTAAACACACGGAATATGTGTCGGAATTCTTCTGCGCTTCTGTTCTAAAATTAAAGTGCCACACTCAAGCTCACGTTTGTTATTACTTTTATTTATTTTTTTTTTTCTCGACAAAAATGTGCTTGGAATTTTTGAGTATTTTTTCAATCTGGTTGCGAATTACGATGCGCGACTGACACACAGTCCAAATGGTGACCGATCTTTTTCATACGCGTAAATCGAATGAACTGAAGTGGCAATGAATATCATTGGTACGGCCCATTTTAGCAAATTATAATTATAAAATGCGACTCCAGTCGAACGTCGTTATGGCTGTGTAAGCGTTTTTTTTTTTTTCATTGTTGTTGCTGCTGCTGCTTCGACTTGGCATTCATCGCTGCCGTTATCATTCGTTTTAGTTTCAACGACTTTTGCGCTTTGTCGTCGCTCATCGGCAAATTTACTTTATTATCATCATCGCATTCGCACACATTGACCGTTCTCTAGGTGTATGTTTGATATGTAAATTTTATATGTCGTATAAGAGCTATAAAACGACTGAGCCAACAACAATAACAACAATAACGAACGAATGAATGCTTGTGGAAAAAAAATCAGCACTCGAGTACATACAAACGCGTTTTGGCCATTGGCACTTGAATTAAGTATACAAGACTCATACACACAATCAATATGTAAAAGGAAAAATGGTGAATATTGCGACTACAAAATGAAGAAATAAAAATAACAATTTATACATATTCCGTAAGCGATCATTTGATGTAAGCATGGATAATAGTCATGGTGACTAGTGATCGACTTATTCTTATCTATTTTTCTTCGTTTACATTTTGCTTATTTGTTTGGCTGAGTTCAAATCGATTCGTATTTATTCAAAAGGGGGTGATCACAAATTTGCACATAGAATTGACCATGCAGACAGTAAGCACTGTAATTATCGGATCAGAGTGCAAGAGAAAACAAACAGCCACCCCATCGGCGGGCCTGAAACAATCTTAATGCTATTATCATTGTTATTGAAGAGTAATATACTCGGTAATAAAGCGAAACATTGTGTATAAAAAGTGTGTCGAATGGTGTATCAGTTGAGTTTTGTTTGCATGTGCCCTTTATCTTGGATTGCGCGTGCGCGTTATTCGATTTAATTTCGTAATAGAGTTGCCATGAGCTGAGCGAATATACATCGGATGGCAGCAAGGCCGAAAACAACTTAAATGACAATTATAGTGACGTGAGCGCCCTCAATTTCAATAGACAAATCAATGTAATTTCGGATTTTTTTTCCGAACTAAACAGCGCGACAATTTGAATTTTCTTGATACCCTATACGAATATATTATGGGTCCTTCAAGTGAACCGTGTGTACACAACGCACATACCGTCTCCTATGAGAAAAATGACTAGAATGACGTTTGGTTTGGCGCCATCTGCAAGGTGGAAGTATTTTGCAATACAAATACGTTCTATTGTTGTTGTCATTGATAGTTGGCAGTATATTTATATAGAAGTTTCATAGTTCAGCGTCAAGATGTCGCTTAAATATAGCATTAACATGTGCTCCATATAAAAACATAGGCATATTTGAACCCGTGAGCATAAAAACGACTTATTAAACAATCGCCGAACAAAACGATACAAGAAAAAACTACCGAACAAAACGTACCACAGCGGTAATGTGTAGCACAGCGGAGTTTCGTTTTGAACGTTTGTTTTGTTTGGTAGTTTTTTCTTGTATCGTTTTGTTCGGCGATTGTTTGATAAGTCGTTTTTATGCTCACGGGTTCATTTTATCATTGCCGTCACATATTTATTGAAAAAAATGCTACATTCTCGTGATTCTGCCAATTAAGAAAGAATGAAATAATAAAAATTTTGTATACAAAGTATGCACAGATAAACGGTAATTAAGGACGAGTGTTTTTGGTAAATTTCGTTATGATTTGGGTGCTTGATTGGGACTTTTTTATCACATCAATTGATGCAATCTGTTCAAACATACAGCTGACGAAAAACGAAAATCATCAAAGTGTTATAGCCGGCAAAGGTTTTTTGCAATGACGAGATAACGCAACTGCGTTAGTCAATAAATTATCAAATCTATTTTCAGTGCATTTTATCAAAATTCACAGATAGACGTGTGATTTTTTTTGTTTCTCTATCTCTCCTGTCCAAGTTGAAGAGACTTCTTTGCTTGTGTTTAATTGAACTTGATTGAATGGACTCGGAATGAAATGGATGTCGCCACCTATTGGAGCTCATCAAAAGCCCAACAGCGACGACGTTGGCAATGATCATTCTAAACAGTCTCAATTAACTGATTTACAATGTTTTATCAGTGAACAAACAAATTGTCGCTCAGACTGATAACGACACACTCTCCACACAGAGACACATATTTGTGTCATTGTTATATTCTACATTTTCTTCTCATTCCGTCTTGCAACCAGCGGATTCTCTTCTCCCGTTCTCAATTGCAATCAGTTCAATTTTTTTTTGTACTGCGCATATCAGCGGCGAATAAATTCGATTCGAAATATGTGTCGTCTGTTTTTCTCTCGCTCTCACTCTTTCCCTGGATTATTCACAGTCTATCTTCCAATGACCTTTATTGCAATGCAAATGTGTATGACCTGACTTAATAATAGCGATTGACGTTTTTTTCTCTCGAGCTTTGACGCAATAAAAAATCGTACCAAGACATTAACACAATTTCAGCGCCTGTTTTTGAGTTTGCCCGAGAAGTGATTCAATTCCCAGACTGAATCAATATTTGTAGCAAGTAAACGGTGCTGAAATCAGCAAAAGAGTGACACTTTGGAAGGGGAAAATCACACGAAAATAAAACAAACAATTTACTAATTTATTTTTAAGTCGTTTTTGTTTATTTGAAATTTTACCATAACATATCAGAATTATACAAGAGATTCAATCATACAATTATTTTTTTTTTCCATTTTTTTATACTTCAGCTAATTGTGTGAGTGTCTGTGGGTTTTTCTGTTGTTGTTATTGATTCTTTTAAATTAAACATTTTCATAATGATCGTTTTATTCATTAAAAATATGAATAAAATTCGATTATATGGTTCATTTTGTTGTAGTTTGACAGTTAACTGAATGGTTCGATAGGATTATATTGCCATTGGTATATCGGTAATTTTTTCGTCTGTTTGCGTTCATATTAAACCTTTTTTTTTGTAAGATTCATCCAAAAAATAAACAACATAAGATGTTCATCGAACTTAAGAAATTCCTTGCGAAAGAGTCATAGAATGAATCGTTCTTGATAGCAATATTGTTTTTCTCTCGTTAACTCACAATAACATTGTATCACGCGTTGAACAAATGTTTTGAATTTCGTTTAAAATTAGCGATGTCCGCACGTAGCTCCACTACCGAATTCCGGATAAAAACTGCACAAACCGAAAGACTCTTTCGCCAAAAAAAAACGTTTCATTTAACTTGAAAACAAAAAAAGAAATACCTAATCCAATCAAAACAAACGATAAAATGCGGCTATTTGTCTATATATTTCATCCCATTCATCAGACATTTGTGGTGTCGAAGTGATGTTTCTATTTGGTCTTGTTTGGTTGTTGCTAATTTTTTTTTGTTTGTTCATTTGTGATGAATGAATTTTATGCATTTTTCTGCAAAAGTTCTTCGAGTTAAATGGGCTAATGTAGCAACTTGAATTGATGCTGTCAAAAATAGTTGTGAGTGGATAATTAAATCTCTGACTCCCGTCTTGATATTACAATCATTTTACTCTCTATATATCTGCGGCGCTCGGATTATATACATAATAATAAGTTTGTTTTTTTTTTGCTAGCAATTTTGTTAGTGAAATGTTAAATTTTTGTTGCTGTTGCATGTTTATTAATTTGATTTTATTTTTTCTTTTCACTAAATAATACTCGGTTGCGGTTGCCCTAATTAATACATTTTGTCGTTTGCAATTTTGGTGCATCATTTTGTATATGTTTCATGTCAAAGAGATTCCATTATAAGCTGTGTGTGTGTTTTTCATCTCTCTTTAATTCGAATGCTAGTTCTTTGTTTCAATAATGTATGTGTGTGTGTGTGTGCCTTGTAACAGGAACTAATTTACATCCCATTTATTGGTTTAGATCGAAATTGTCTAGATGTTGATCTGTTGCCACAGAAAATAAGGCGCGAAACAGAATGAGCCGCATATGTCATCAACATAACATTATACACCAATAATGCTACAAAATGTCACATTTCGAATTCAAATGGAACCAAACAAAAATGCGTGACCATACATTTAAATTTGGTTGTGTTTTTTTGGTTTTGTTTTGTTGTTGTTTTCGAAATAAAAGAAGTGAAAAATCATAAGTTTTAATAGCTCGTTTTATTTGTTTCTTAGAATAGAAAGAACAATATATGGGGGGTCTGCTTCTCAAGTTTCTTTTAAATATTTCATATAAATTGATAAATTTGTTTTATTTTTTTTTTACAACGAAATAAAATTAAGACAAAAAAAAAATAGTAGAAAAAAATGTGTCGTCTATGCCATGAATTTTTGTTGTTTTTTTTCTTACGATTTTTTTTGTTTAAATTTAAATATGCATTATAACTTTCCATTTAAATAGAGTGTGAGTATTAGGGTGACACGCAGAACGACTGTTTTGGAGCTAACATTTGGTCCAGACACAATTTCCAGTTGAACAATATCAGATTCTACGAATATATCACACACATTTGCGGAGTAGTGCTAAACAGCTCTCACAAGCGCGACATAATTCATTCTTTTTTTTTTCGGTAAAATTAGTTCAGTCTATCCCTATACCATCTTGACTATAACTGATATCACGACAAAAAGTCCTGATTTCACCAGAAAAAAAATGAGAAGAAGAAGAGAAAAACCAGTTCTCATATTTTCAGTAATCGGAGTGGATTCTCTCAAATGAGAATGACACACAAGAGAATTTCTTAGCGGTTGAACGTGACATATATTGTTCGGATTTTTTGTATGTTGCAAAACACAAAAAGAAAATACACAGAAAAATCTCCGTCAGCTGTGATAAAATATAAATGGAATCCAATTTTGATAAACTACAGATTGCACAACAACTAACTCTAAATAAAATCGTTCGTCGAGCCACCCTAGTGAGTAAATCTGCTCAATATGCGATTTTGTTTGTTTCTTTTTCTTTACAAATAATCATTTTAAATACTAGTCAAATGATAACATTTCAATTTCAATTCTATTCATTATTAATTACACGCGCGATGCCCGTGCTTGCATGTAGTAGCTACTTAGCTGAATTTCAGTTGTCTTGCTGATGTTTTTTTTTTTTAATGTGTGTGTGTGTGTTGATTTTTTTTTCCTCGTTTTGTTGTTTATTCTTTTTCACTATTTGATTATTTAAAAACGTAACTCTAAAAGGTATTTAAAATTTAGTTCAATAATTGCTGTTATTTGCTCATTTTGTTGGATGTTCCCCCATCAAATTAGTTAGCATACATTCCTCTCGCTACATCGTGTTGATGATTCTTGTTTTTCTTTATTTTTTATTTTTTTACCTCAATAGACTGCTTACATTATGTCTAATTTTATTTATTTAGATAAAAGATTAGATATATTTATAGTATCTATTTAAACTTGATTTTTTTTTTTTATTCATTCTTGCTAATTTATTTAATTTTCTTTTACTTTAATCCATACATATATTTATAGAATTCATACATAAATTGTTTTTCTGTGTTGTGTTCTGTTATTATTATACCTATGTCATATACGATTTTTTTTGTGGTTTTTTGTTGTTGTTGTTGTTGTTTAAATTTTAATTTTTTCGAAATCTTCGTTTACATGCATGTTGATTTCAATTATTTCTAGAGAGAATTAAGACTATTTCATGCTCTTTTTTTTATTTCCAACTATTAATATGTAGTGTTTTACTGTTGGTTTTTCATTTTATTCTCTATTAAATTACGTGTTTTGTTTCTTTGTCCTCCTTCTTGTGAATAGAATAACCATACAGTTTTCACTTTTTCTTCTTTTTTTTATTATAACATGTGTTGTGAATGCTTTTTATATTTCCAACTTTCCGTTTGTTGCCGATGCAATTTATTGTGTTGTATGTGTGAATGTGTGTTTGTTATGTGAACAAAAAACTCAAATGATTTGTAAGATTTCTTTATTTTCTGGTTTTGTTCTAGCTTAAAAAAAAATGCTTGATCCTATTGCTAAAACTAGCATTGAGTTCATCTTTGTGTAATTTCTCCTTATGTAACAGATCTCGAACGCGTTTTTGATTTCAATTGATTTCGAGTATGTGTGTGTATGCAAAATGCTAGCCGCATTAATTAGCACAATAATTTCGATACGATCTCTGTTGTACTGGCTGTTGCTGTTGTTGCTATTTTTCCCTTTATGTAATAGTTTTTGTCATTTGCGTCGTATTTGATTGTTTCTAGTCGGCTTACGTGTTTGTTTCTTCATCTTCTATTCATTCTCTCGCATTCATTAAATAGAGTTTCATAATTATATTCATATTTTTAATTTTTTTTTCCATTTTCTTTTATTTTACTGTACAAGAGAAGTTCAGAACAAATAATAATTCCGCGAAAAATTCGATTCGAACGCGCACGAAAAAAAACACTTTCGTTGGTTTTTAAAACGGTCTGAAACGGTCTTTCCTTCAGCAGAATGTGTAACTTCAACCTAAATTAGACGTTAGCTCTCTGAGTTTTGTAACATTTGACAACAGTGATGACTTTTACTATAATAATCATAATTAAATCAAGTGGATTTTGGCGGCAAATGCGCGCGTGCACCCATCGCATCCGTAAAACACTCGCTCTGTGTGTAGGTGAGAGTGTGTGAATGAACGCATGCACACACGCGCGCGCTTGCACATGCACTCACGTATGATCGACCGACGAAGAAATTATTCGATACTACTAGAAAATAAAAAGTAATGAAGAAAAATCATCGATACGAACTTTTGCACATTTATTCTTATTTTTCAATCTTGGTTTTTGTTTAGTTGGTTGTTACTTTGTTGTTGTTGCAGTAGTTTTTGTTGAATTTGTTGTTGTTGTTGTTGTTGTTGTTGTTGTTGTTGTTTCGTTCATGGCTCATGATTCTGTGTTTCTTTTTCATTATCATCAATGTGTTAAATAATTGGGTTTTCAATGCATTGGCTGTTTTTGAAATTTTATTGTTTTTTTTTTCATTCACTACTATTTACTGTTTATGATTTTTATGTTCTTCGCTTGAGTTTGGCTAACCTAACGAAGCTGTTGTTTGACTAGTGCTGTTTGATGCAGCATTTGCCGTTGAATCGGCGGCTGCAGTCGTCGTTGATGTTGATCCACTTGCCGCCTCACCATTGCCACCCGATGCATTCTGTCCGGATGTGGATGTCGTTGCGCCAGCTGTGGTTGCCGATCCTGAAATTTTTTCAACATATTCATGAAATTAATTTTGTTCTGTTTGTAGTTTCTAATCAAATTCATTTGACCAAATGGAATGAAGGAAGAAAAAAGAAGCTGAATGTGCTTACCACTTGGACTTTGAGGCGGTGCAGTTGAACTCGAACCAGCTGCTGCTGCTTTATCGGACGCACTTGAAGCGTCGTTTTGTGTCGAATATCGTGGCATCAGACTTGCATTTAAACTAGGTTGGATAGCTAATTCTGTTGAGTAGAAAAACAGAGAAAGAGAGAGAGAGAGAGAGAGAGAGAGAGAGAGAGAGAGACGGCAACCAATTAGCATACTGATCAATTTAATTGAATCGCAACTATTATTCTGGCTACAAACCTGCTTCTGTGAAGTTAAATAGTGGTGGTAATTCTTTTCCGTTTGGAAGTTGTTGATTGGATTCTCGTAACTCGTTGAAGAATGGATGGGCACAAGCCTGCAATGGAGTGATTCGCGCGCTTGGTGTATATTCTAGTAGCCGTGATACCAGCTGAATTGCATCTGGAGGCGTACGAGCACGGAATACCTGTTCAATGGAAACAACAACAAAAAAAATTCATTAGCAAATGTGCTGTTGTAATTGAACAGCAATAATAAACGGAAAAATCGATTATATTCTCTCAATTCTCCGCCACACGTATGAAATTATGAAAAAGAACGATAAAATAAGATGTGTGTTTGCTTGTATGTGTGTGTGTTTGTGTGTTTGATATATAGATATTTCTTCTCTGCTTGTTTTTTTGGTCGTTTGTCTGATTAACACAAATGAAACTGGAAAATGGACAGACGAAACGATTCGGTCTATTGCCTCTCCGCACAAAACTTTCAACATATACACGAAACCGTTGCACAACGACATCCACCCTCTGCCATCATGATATTGGAATGGAATATTCTCATTTTCATTTTTTCCGTTTACTACACATCGCATGGAGTACTTTTGGAGTGGTCAATCAATTTAATTTTGTATGTGTGTTTTTTTTTCTTTTCTTTTTTTTTTTTTTTACTAAATATCTTACTCGGAACCGTTGGCGCGGCGTTGTCTGTTTCGGAACATAAGACATTCGCTCAAGCATTAGCTAAAGAGAGAAGAAGAGAAAAATTGGAAAGAAAGATTCGAACAAAAGATGAAAAGACACACTCGTCAAATTGTCAAACATGTTCAAGTTGATTCAAATGATGAGATTCATGGTTGTTGCAGCGCAATTTTGTTTTTTTTTTTTTTTTTGGTGTGTTTGGTAAGAAAATTGATTTTCAAATGAGAGCGATGAGATAAAAAACGAAAAAAAAAACATTCATTATTCGTGTGGCCTCATGAGAGAAGACGGTGTAAGTTTGCGGTTTAGAAATGAAATATGATGGCACAAAACATCATACAATCATCGGCGGTTAATCCAGTGTTTTTGTTTTTGACACAACACAATTATAGAAACACACACACACATTGTCTGAAAAATGTACGAATACATCGATTCTGGTTGTTGTTGTTGTTGTTGTCGTTCTTGATGAAGATGCTACATAGAACGTAGAGCCATACAGAGCAGCTCAATACGTTTGAAACAACCAAAGCTGACACAAGTTATTATTGCTAAGTTGTTATTTCTGAATCTTGGTTAAAAGCTATGGAGATGTACTTTCATCGTTAAATCGTCTAACAACAATGTGACAACAGCAGCATTAAGCAGTTTTTATTCCATTTTGGGCTTACCTTTTGCCACGGATGGCTTTTGATTTGTGGAAACTTAAATTCGGTATAGTTAGGATTCATCTCACGAATTTGTTCACGGGTTGGTGTGCCCAACACTTTGATAATTTCAACAAGTTGATCGACACCAGAGTCACCAGGGAAAATCGGCTGTCCAAGCAATAATTCAGCTAGAACACAACCAGCGCTCCAAACATCTGGAAAATCCAAAGAACAAACCATTAATTGCATTCGAGTCAAAGTGGTACAATGGGTCAATGAACGATTATTTGGTGCATAAGAGATTTTTGTGGTACAAAACTTACCGATTTTTGTGGTATAGTTTATGGCACCGAATATTAATTCGGGCGCACGATAATACCTAGAACAAATGTACGAGACATTTGGTTCGCCTGGAAACAGTTGTTTGGCACTGCCAAAATCACATAGCTTTAGTACGGCCGTTTCTGGATCCAAGAGCAGATTTTGTGGCTTAATATCACGATGACACACACCCAACGAATGAATATAGGCTAAACTTCTGAACAGTTGGTACATGTAAAGCTGCGGGCGAGAGAGAGAGAGAGAGAGAGAGAGAGAGAGAGAGAGAGAGCAAAAGAGAATTTATAAGTAAATCGTCAACAAAATCATATTCATCGGCAACATTTTAATTGAGTCATGTGTTGCGATCCAAGTCCTCGTTCACTGTCAACAACAATAACATCACGTGCAACAAGCCAACTCTTATTGATTAAATCCTAATAAATTCCAATTAAAAATGCATGAACAGATTCGAATCCGGCTCCTCAATATGTCGACCATTTTCAGGTCACGCAATTCTATGTCTGTGCGCATTATTGGAATTGATCGAATCAGCGTGATTCCTTTTGAATTGGAATTGAAAAATATGGATGATTTAAGTAGCAAAAAACAACAACTTTCACTTGTATATTTAAATAAATAGAATTGATCTAGAGAATTGAATGACACAAAAAGGCAAACCAAACAGCGTTTGTCATGTGACGATTCCCTGACGATGATGACAAGTAAACAAGAAATAAATCAATTGAACGAGAGAAATGAAATCAAACATGATGTAGCTAATTTAATCGATTACTTAGAGTGTAGAGTTGACACATTGCACGTCGATGTTGTTCCTGTTACGCGGGATGCTTAGGTTCAATTGATATTCGAACGATCGACAACGTAAATTATGCAAACTAGATGACAAACATCAATTGAACCTCGTTTATTAAATGAAATGTGTTTGTTCCATTGAAAATTGATTTTTGATCAATTTGATCAAAAAAATTATATCGTCAAACTCATAGATCGATCACTTCTCAATCAATTGAGATAACAAAAAAAAAACACGAAGAAACACTTACCCTGATATAGTTGATCGGAATTGTTTGTTTACTTTTAGCAAATTGGCGTGCCACTTTGTAAACTGTTTCTGGTATATATTCGAGCACTAAATTCAAATAAACTTCGTCTTTCTGCAGCGGAATAAAAGATGGAACGAAAACAAAACAAATTGAGTAAATTATTCTTCAAGAGGTTAATTATTATTTTTTTCTTTTTTTCTGGGGTTGGCCCAATTAACAACAATCGATAAAGAATTCGCGGCAAATTTTCATTACAATGAACCACAAGCAATTACAATAGCAAAATAAACAATGCAAAAGTGTTCTATTATTGTGGATACGACTAATTCATAATTAACAGCATGATTCATTTGGGAAATTTGAGCTGGTTTTTACTTTGATAATACCACAGCGCACAAAACTATTCGTTAAGCGATAATTCATTTTGTGTGGTGCGATCGTGATGAGCAAATTCAAATAGCAGGATTTTTTTTTTCTTATTGCAATGACGATTACAAAAGTTCATTGATTTTGCCGATCGAAAGCCATTTAAAATAGCAATGACAAATATTATGAAGCATTTTTATGAATGAATTCAAAACTACAACAAAAAAACTGGATTTCGATGAAAAATGAAATCATTTGGGAATAATTCCGGTGATAAATGGATCACTATCATCATTTTGAAGCGACATAACTTTGGCTACCTGCGTTTTCAATGATTCCGAAAAAATGCCCATATCGAATGGGTTGCAGTCAAACTTCACAAGCGCATGTTTATGTTAACAATTTTATTTTTTTTTTAAAGAAAATATGCTCATTGATTGTTGCCAAGATTGTGGCCGTTAATGACGTTTTTTTTTCATTAAATTTTATTTCAAAACAAAGCCCAAGTTGAAAAGATCAAACGAAAAAAATTAAAGAAATAAAAATATGAAATTAGAATCAACTCAAGCTCAATTATTGTATAAAAAAAAAAACATAATAAGACAATGTAATTCAATGCATTGGATTGGCTTACCTTATCTCCACTTGAATAAAAAAAATATTTTAGCTTAACAATGTTACAGTGTTCCAATCGTCTCATTATTTGTAATTCCCGATTCTGAAAGAGAAGAAATTGAAAATGAACGTTCCAGAGATTACAATCGTACACGTTTTGAGGAAAACAGTTCCCGGCTTAATAGTAGTAATTATTGCATGGAAAATGTTGTTTATACGCCCATCGAAATTTGTTGTAATTGATCCATGAATTTATGCGTCACACACGAATTTCTTCTGTTCTACATTTCAATTATTCAACTGTACGGTTGGTGGTGTGAAAACTTGTTGGAACTGAGGCTTTTTGTATGTTCTTGGAATTGTTAGGTGGAGGCCATGAGCATTTCTCATTGAAAATGGGGCACATTTTTGCCCGTCAATTTTTAATGGACACTTTAATCAATTGATATGTCACCATTCAGCCAATATACAATATCCACCACCGTCATTCACATAACCATATATTATACAATAGCACCAAATCGATTTGTAATTTGGGTTTCTTTTAATTTTTTAAACTACACTTGACAAGGTGAATGATTTTTTAGGTGTGGCCTCACCATCACACCGCTGTTGGTTATTTTACACAACGTTTTCCATGGAATCACTCTTTTCTGAATGAAAAATCACTTCCTTTCGTTTTGATCGATCTTTTTTTTTAAAAAAAAACTCACTTTAAATCGTCTATCCTGTAAAACTTTTTTGATGGCCACCAATTCGTTAGTTTCGATTAGCTTCGCCTGGAAGACAACACCGAAGCTTCCATTTCCGATAACTCGAGTGTCTGTGTATGAGACTTCTTGAACGCGATCTGATCCTTGGCCGGGAGTAGCTACGACTGTTGTCACCTTTGCACCATCTTTGCCTGCGATGAGATGAAAAGAAAGCCATAATTAGAGTTAGATCAACCGAGAAAATGGCACAATTTTACGGAGTTAAAAGGTAAAAATGTTGAAACAAAATGGATAAACACTTTATGGCAATTGCATAACATTGTGTAAAAATCACGGACCTTTGATGAATTCCCTAAAGAATATTTTGCTAATTTCCATTTAGAATCGGAGGAGGAGGAGATAACTCCTTCAATTCGCACCACAACTTCACGCTTAAACTAGGAAAAACAATGCACACACCCAAAAGATTGATGCTAATTTGTTTACACCATTTCAATTTCGATGCAATGGTATTCAATGGCTAATTTTCTTTTATTGCACATAATTTCACAGTGGACGAAGAAGTTTGAACGAAGGAGAATTTGATGTCGTAAATTGTGTACACAAGGTGCTCGCGCGCGCTTCGTTGACCTTCAAATTCAACTCGGTACCGACACCGCCGACGACCAATTGAAATTGGATAGAGAGCACAAATTGATATTGTTTGGATTTTGACACGATTTCTTTTCGTTTGCTTCGTAATTTCTTTTGTTTCAAAGTGCTTTTTTCGACTCACGACTCACTATCGTAAGGCCACCTGAACAATGTCGACAATGGCAACCATGCTTGTTGTCATTACGGAATCATTTCTTCAACTGATCCGATTATTCCAACCAAATTCGAATCGTGGCTGGAGTCGAATACCAGCCAATATCTACCACACACTTCGATCGTCGTCATCGTCGTGGTCGTCAAACCAAATGGAATATGAATGTACACCAGGCAAAAGTGAATACGAATAGGTCAATTAGTATGGTGCGAGAGAAAGAGCACACGACACACAATCATAGATACTTATATGTATGTATACACTATCAAAGAAAATGCCAATGAAAAAGTTCAAGTGAAAAACATAAATCGAAAAGAAAATCGACATTCGGAGCGACAGAATGAAGGGTGGTGTGTAAGACAAACCAAATAAATATTCAAAGGTTCAATGTATTCAGCGTCGATGAGTATGGGTACAAGAAAGAAAAACTGAATTTTCACCGAGCATAACACACCAGCACACCGAAATATGTATTCTATGTACACAGAGAAAGAAAACAACAAACATCAGCAGCAGCAACAACAACAACAACAAAATAATGCGACGGAGAAAAACACGGTGCCTTGCATGTGGCATATATGCTTTCCACATGTTCATTGGTTCGATTTTCACGTTCGTCGAGCACGATATTTGACTAGATGGACTTTCTCGCTCTTTCGCTCACACTTTCTTTGCTATATTGCGCACCAATTCTTTCTCTCTCTCTCTCCGTGTATTTGGACGATACTTTCAATCGATCCATTTTCTCAAAATAAAATACATAACGGTAGAAAAAAAATCGATGTTTTTCAAATAAAACGCAACACATTCCATCCAATGGGTTTTTACATATACCTCCAAATGGCGCGTAACAATTTACACCACAAACATTCTAATTAGCCCGAAAGAGTCACAACCGCAAACAGAAGAACCAACTGAAATGCTACTCTATGTCCTATAAATGGCTTGTTTTCGAATTCTGTGTGTGTGCAATTTGTTTTCATTTTGCTCTCATGTCGCTCGCATCGGAAGATGCGGTGAGTTTAACCTGATTTCAATTTTGCTATTTCGAACTTCATTCATCGCATGGAAACACCCTGAATGTCTGCTAACTAATGCCGAGTGTATGTATAACGCCCCGATGGCCATTAATTAAAGTCATCATTATTATTTTGTGGAATTACTAAGCAAATAATAACAAGTCTAACCGATAAAAAGTGAAACATTTTATGAGATTCTCACGCATCGGCCAAACCGAAAACGATGACCAAATTGCTGTTGTATTCAGACGACCGTGTGGAACGGAATATTGAAATGCGGAATATCCAGTTTCAATTATTCAACAGGGTTTTCACAATTGCTTACGAAATTCGGTGATGCGATGTCTAAAAATCGGGTTAAATGCGTCCGCAAGCACAAGCAATTCATTAGTAAAGAATAAATTGACCAAATAAAATATTCGTCGAATATTTGCGCCCATCTTCTATCATCCATGAAGTGTTTAATCTATTTTTTAACATACGTATGTTGTTGTTTTTCCCCGCTTCTCCATTGTGGTTGTTTGTGTTTTCAGAAAAAAAAAGACGCTAACAATAGATTAAACAGAATCGGGTGTAGAAACAAGGATCACAAGTGCTGACCCGCGCAATGAAGCCAAAACCAAAATAAAATCGATAATCTGTCATTTACCACCCGAAAAAAGCTAGCTCAAATAATGTATATTGCTCCAACATTCGTTTAAATTGCCTGCTATGGCAAGGCATATATGGGTCTTCGCATATTTTAAATGACAAACATAAATATTATACGAGAAGATTATCGAATCATGTGATCGTGACGGCTTTTGCGTGAATAATCGCTATTTTGTTCGCTTGTTCTATCGTTATAGCCATATAAAAAAAGAGAATAGTCAATTGTCAGTTGACAAAAATATTTATATTACGATCGGATGATTGTGTGGCGTTGCTAGTACATTTAGAAATAATCACGCGCACAATGATTGGAAATTTTATTTCAAATTGTTCATCCGTCATCAAAAGGTCACACAAACCATATCAGCGGAAATTTCTTTGGTAAAAAAATGTAATTTGTATATTTTTATGGCTTCGAGATTTTTTTTCGAGTTGCTGTTTTCTTCTCTATTGTTTGTTAAATGTATGTGTAGAGTGTAATCAGTGTCCATTCATAGAAAGTGGAATCAGAGAATAGCTGCTGCTGCTTTTGTTGGATACGATTGAATCAAGGTTGTGTGTACATGAAGTTTTGTACAAATTTTTTACAAGTTTTACGGATGTTATGAAAGCTTGAAATGCAAATGGGCGAACGGAAAACGCAATCGGGTCACATGAACTGTTTGTGTTTTTTTTCTTCTACTTCTTCTTTCAAGTCTAAGCGTCTAGAGTCTGAGTGCTAACGAGTTTCTCAGAAAATAGATTAAGATAAAGTTGTTTATGGAAGTGACATTTTAGTTTTCCATTGAATATAATAAGCTGTCATTTTTGCACCTCTCTCGCTCTCTCTCTCTCTCCCTCTCTCTCTTCCCCTCTCCATACGTCATGAAGCTGGCGAATGCAAGCACATTAAATAATAAGCTTTGCAGCAGATTATTATTATGCATGTGTTTTGAGCAAGGAAGAAAAAAAAAGACATGACCAGTATATTTCTTAGTAAACATTTCTACTTGGCGAGTTGGCAAACAACACAGTTCGCGACTCTGCACAATCAAAATGAGAAAAAAAAGAAAGCAGATTTAAAATGAAATAACGTGATAGCGATAATGCTTGACGACTGTTGTAATCGACCCCCTTGTATGCGAACGACCTGTGTTTTGAGCGCGACGAAGAGCAAAAAAACAAATGTTTTAAAAATATAATAAGTGAAAATATGATGAAAAACACAACTTTTGTGCATAAAAATAAAATTCTAAATCGCGGCACTCGTCTATCTGAGTGGTGTGTCGCCTTGATCCTTTTCTCTTCGTCGTTCTAACGCATCTCTAGCAAAATGCGTAGAAATGTTCAACTCAACGACAATTGTAATCGTGAAATCGGTTCACACTGTGTGTTATTTTTATAAATGAAATGCCCTATCAAAAGTGCACCGCCGACAGTCGGACAACAACGACGAAAAAAAAATCGCCGTTGGGTATCTGTTGCTGTCGCTGCTGACAAAAGTGGCAACAGCAACAACTGAAAAATCACATTTTTTTTCCCTATCACATAATAATTAACGCATTTGTTTGATGATTTATTCCAATTTGTATAGTGATTAGAGACCAGGCGCAGATATTTATGAGCTCAACTGCATTGCAGATTGCTGGCATGTGTACGTGACATCGTTTTTTCTCTCCCATTTGCTGGCTTGTCAAAGGAGAACGTGTTACGACTAGCAATCTATTGCAAATATACTAAATAAAACAATAAAAAAATGAATCATCTGCGGTATTTTTGCTACGAAGCATTTTACGGTGTCACAACCTCAAAAGTAATTAATTAATGAAAATTTAAGCAAAATTGCTTACAAACAAAATGTCATCGTTTCATTTCGTTGTTGAGCACCCGGGCCTTTACCGTGTACCGTTTGTTTCTTTGGGCTGATTTTTATCATCTCGAATTTTTTCGTTGTGTCGAATTAGAATGAACATCTCGTGAGAGCGAGAATAACATGTCAAACAAGACATTCTCAGAAAATTGTTTATAGTCATTTAACATCAATATTTATGCGTAGTTACGAGTGTTAGCTCGAGGCGCGCGACTCTGCGCGATATCAAACAACGCAATCGAACAAAGTGCTTTGTTTGTTCGACTTCGAACTCATCATATCACAGTAACAAACACCACATTTCATTCTCTTGTGTGCAACAGGAATTGCAGAAGAATTTAATCAATAGGAAAAATGAAAAAAAAAAAAAAAAAACAGGCACATTGACAAGTATGTGCTCAACTTTGGTATGACACTTCCGTTTCGATTTGGTGTACTAATTCAACCACAAATCAATCTAAATGTTTACGGCTTTTTATAAATCAATAAATTATTTGCAGTAGTAAACAGTCGACACGAGAACTCAATTAACCCACTTCTATCAACCGAAATGATTGATAGAATTTAGAGATTAAACGATTAAAGTTAAATGGTTGGGTGGTTTAAATATGAGTGAGTGTTTTTGATGTATGTTGAAATTTCCAAGCTTAGTTGCAAATGCACTAAACCGATGGACGGCCTTAATTGCAGTGCAATGCACGCATTAAAGTTCACAAAGTTTATCGGGCTGCACACACGTTGCCAATAGATTCCGATAATTTTGAATGATGGTTTCGTTGTTGTTGTTGTCAATCGCATGAACAAATTTTTTTTTTTTGTAGTTTCGATAGATTATTAGCCTATTTATGGGTTTTTCATGATTGGCACAATTTGAATATGTCACTGTTGTGCGTGTGTGAGTTTTTTTTTCCTTTGTCTTTCGTTCGGTTGCAAAGTTCAACCTTAAATTACCATGATGCATGATAGTACGTAGTAGTATGTATGAATTTTATATTGACAATTGGTGCACATAAAATAATAACTTACAAAATGTTTCGCGCAATTTTTTAAACAGCCGACTAAAACTGACGCAACTTGGCGTTTTATTTGTATCTTTTCGTATCAGCAGATTATCGTCGAACGATGCACCCAAACTGCGTGCTTTCAGCTCTTCTTTGAGCGTGGACTTTTTTCCATTGGATCGTCGCCGTTTTTCGCGTACCATCGGACTGCCATGTTCATTGATGTAGCACTGCACCTCATGGAAGCCATCATCACGGTTTATAAGCTTTGGATCCAATTCAAAATTGTCATCAATACTGTTGAGGGTTGTGTTTCGGTGATTTTTGGAGAGAAACTTTTTTGCTTTGGGCGTTGATTCCGTCACAACCGTTTCTGATATCAGCGGTGATACTTTGTCTTCTTTTTCGTTATTATTATCTGTATTTGGTTCGTTTGCTGGATTGTCGGTTTCTTGATAAGTTATCGTATTCACTATGGGCCGTGTGTGAATTGACGTATATTTTGGTCCGCTCGAAATGTGTGCCATACTGTCAACCGAACCACTGTTATACAGATCGGGTCCATAGCTACCGAAACCGCTATCCGTTGATATCAGGCGATTTTTCTTTTTCATCAACAATGGTATCATGTTTTCGCTGCGCGCATGACTGATCGTCGTTGAGTCATTGTCTGTGATTTCTTGCAAATTTGAATTGGATGACGCACGTTGCGCGACAAAATTATTATTTGATTCATCTTCGTTGATATCCACAGCGATTTTCAAGCTATTTGTCGATTTGCAAAGTCCATCGTCCTCAAAAATTTCTATGTCACCCGCCACATATTCAATACTCGCTATATCCTTCATTTTTTTTTAAAAACGTTTTCTTTCTTTTTTCTCTGCGTAAACACTTCAATTCAATAAATGTCTTTGTATTCTCTTGTCTTTGTGTATTGTCCAGTAACACTTGGAATTTTTTTTATTATGTCTCTTTATCTTCAACAAAAAAGAAATATTGAAAACGACGTTGTTTTGATACGATTAAATAATTTGGCGCAGAGATCAGAAGCTTTGTTTTACAACTGACGATGAATACAAAAAAACGCGATAAACAATTTGGATCTCTTATTTTTTTGCGACAATTTCATTCGTTTTTCTGTGTCACACATGAAACGCATTCACGCAGTCGGAAAGTGCACTGCATTGACAATAAAATGAATTGAAGTACAAATTTTCCATAGGCATAGCACATTGGCAGAAATCCAACTAAAAATTTAGATTCAGTTCAAATAGTTTCTTTTTTCGTCGTCATCGTCGTCGTCGTCTTCTACTTCTTTTTCTGTTTCTTTTCTTGCTTTTTGTGAACGATTCAATTGCAATTTGAAGTAGTGCATTGTATTCAACTTCAGAATTTAAGTCTAGAAAATGTTTTTTTTTTTTGACTAATTGCAAGCACTCAGCTAAAAAGTTGGTTTTTGTATGACGAGAAGAAAAAAAAAATGCGAAACCCATAACAAAGAGACCGCATTTTTTGTGTCATTCTTTCACTGCGACTCTTCAAACAGCGTCAACGACTCATGATGTGTTCAAAAATAAATTGCAATAGGTGTGGTGTTGTGGTTTGCATAGAAACTCATTTAAATATTTTTATCTCCAACTTCGTTATTTTCATATCTGTTTATACACAACAAAGTGAAAAAAAAGTGACAAAAAAAAGTAAAAGCATACACACGGATGGATAGCATATATTGAAATAACACTCGAAATGAGCATTTGGCAATGGTATTTATACGAATGTGTTGTTTGCTTCAATTCAGTTCAGATGTGTTCAAAAGTTGAAAGTCGGGCGATTGAAATTAGCGATGGTGTGTCGTGCGCTGTGCGTGCATTTTAAATATAGATTTTATTCCATGGGGAAATGGAAATCTGACAAATCGTAGGATTCTTGTTGTGGTTTTTTTCTCTGCGATTCTCTTTTTATTAAAACATCAAGTAGCATGTTGAAGAGAACGACAAATGACAGTAACAAGCCAAGAGCTTTCGAGAAAAAGAAGACGTTTGCGCAACGCCTCATCGCCATTATGAGCAATTCTTACGAATGAAAGATTCAAAGATGCTTTTCGAACAAAAAACTAGCCCACCAACATAAAAATAAACTCTCACGCTTTTTTGCTCAAAAGCCTCAACGAGTCAGCATAATGATGTTTAGCCTAGTGCGAATTTTCTACCATTTGAACGAAAACGTGTGGCGGCTCATACACACACCTTCGTTACTATTTTTAGCGCATTTCTAGCCATATTATCGCTTGCTTAATGTTTCAATGAAAATGAAGAGAGCGAGAGAGAGAGAGAGAGAGAGAGAGAGAAAGAGAGAGAGAAAACACACACACACACACAAATTGAAAATATCTTGCATCAATCGGGAGCACAGCGCCACTATACTGCTGTGTATTGAGCGCATCGCATCAATTTCTTTTCATAATACGCTCTCAACAGATATTCTGCCAATTAATTATATTACACTACGGGTCCAATTAATTGATCATTTAACGATGAATGAGTGTTTCGATATAAAACACAAAATTCAATACAGCCATCGTCATATTAATACAGCTCAGTAGTTTTCCATTGAACGGATCAAATGGTTATCGAATCATGTTCTCGCTGTAGCTATGCCACTCGAATTGACATCTGTTTTTTTTTTGTGATTCACCATAGTAGTTAAGAGCTTTAGATGGAAGTTTTGTTGAAGCCTTTTACACGCCATCGAACCATTTCCAATAAAGGAGCTTTCGCCAGCACTCATGGAAATTCTTTTTTTTTTCTTCATCTTCTTATTTACCATCTCTATTTGCAACGGCATTGCCATTTCAATGGTTGAGATTGAAACGCGTGAAGAAACTCAATTTCTAAAAATAGATGCAATAGCACCACACATCGTAAATCAATTCAATTCAATTCCAAACCAATTCGCAATCGTGAGATATTTTTTGTTGTAGTATTTGATGCGATTTCGAAATTGTGAAACACTTGAATGAATGATTTGTATGCATTAGATTCCGATTGAATGTAGCAAATTTTCGCATCTTAAAATAGATTATCGTATGGATGGTTGAATGGAAAAAGCCTCAAAACTTGCGCAGGTTAGAGATAAAATGTAATCGCAAGCGAACCGGTTTTGCGAACCAACAAAGAAGAAGAAGACAACGACGATGATGATGATGACGACGACGACGGTGATGTCTGCAAGTTCCTGCCATAAACAGCATTTCTCGTTAGACATCAAACGCTAAAATCAAAACATCGTAAACAATTTTACTGCAACATTATTTGTTTTTCTTTGAAGTTGTTGATAAGGAAACAGCGTAAGAACAATTTCTGTACTTAAGAGATATTCGATTTTACGATGATGATGAATGGAGGAGTATCATCATCATTTATCCAAATGATAAATAACAAGTCGTTGCGAACAACGTAACAAGAAATTGACGTTAATTGGACGTCGTAGTTCGTATAAGTGTGATTTTGAATAATATGACACCCGTGACAGTCCTTTAACGATATAATTAAACAATAAATTTTATTGCCAACGTCATTGTCTAATTGAGATTGTGTACACTTCTTGAGCGAACAAACTCGCTGAACAAGAAAACGACAAGAACTCGAAGCAAAAGATAAAGATAACACGAAGGAATTGTACTTTTGTTGCGCATGGAAAAAAAAGTCGGTGTGTGTGTGTGTGTGTTTGAGTTTGGTTACCGTGTGTAATTGAATCGCTTTAATTAAACACTTGAACGATAAGCGTATTTTTATGCTTCGATATACAACAAATAGAAAATCTCCAGGATGATGTACAGCATCATATTTAATTATATTTGATCAAGTGTGGCGCGCTTTTTTGTCGTTCGTTCTGATAAGCCGACAAAATAATTATCAAAATTTGTTGTGTGAATTGACCCCTTTTTTTCAATTTCGGAAGAAAAAAAACTGACGCGTTTTTTTCGCCAAGCACGTGAACAGATCGACGACGTTGTCGTCGTCGTCGTCGTCAAAATGAAAAACTTCAAGGCTTGCACACGATAGATGCAGGCCGTATTTGAATCACATTTCATTTCGACGCAAGCGAAAAACAACAACAACAACAAAAATGTCGACAAACAATTTTTCCAGCCGAACCAAAGACAGTATGGTGCTTAGAGCAGCAACAGCATTTATCGTCTTTCGAAATTTCGAGTGCAGCCAAAGCGTTTAAAAGAGACATATTTTTACAGAGCAATAAAATAACACTTGGCAAAATGTGCTGTAGCCAAAATACGAACGTGGAAGACGAAAGAAACGAACAAACGAACGAATGAAACAAAAAAACCGATGAAAAAAGCAAACATGAAACAGAAAACAAAAGCAACAGAAATATATCTACGTATAAAATAACGAAGTAGCAAGTTCACGTGATAACATGAATGCGCAAGTTGTTATCGATATATGGTGTACACAATTTTTATACGTGGTTCAACATTGCCGGTTCCGAATACGCGCTGAAAGCTGGCTGCTGTTGCTGTATCGGTTATTATTCATATAATGTGGAATGTGAGTGAGAGGTTGAACAGGTTTGCTCATTTTCGATGGAGAAAAAAGAGATGAAGAACGCGATCGAATAGTATGCGCTTCCGATGAAACGCAGTTTCTTTTTTTTCATTTCGTTTCATTTTGCTGTGTTGTTGATTTTCGTACACAATAAGCGAAATGAAATAAAACAAGTGCTATTTCTAAAAGTTATGAGCTGGCGTTTCGTTGACGTGATATAATTTCGGAATGAACCCCACAATCAACAAACGTTTGATTTTCATTCATATTTTTTTTTTTTTTTCGGCGTGTTATCGTATGAGTTCATCGATAGTTAGTCTTGCGTCATTCCGTCAAGACGACATTTCTTCTAATTTGGAAGCGCCCCAAATTTTTCGCAACGTTTTAGAAATATTGTGTGCGCACGCAATGGCATGCACACAGGAAAAAAAATTGTGGTCTGCGTTAGTTTGATCGGAATTTAACGTTCTAAAGAATTCTCTAGCACAAACATCCATTTATATCCAACACTGATCGCACGAGATCCAACATTGTGTTCGCATTTTATTCAAACGTGTAAAAGAAAGCTTCTGATAATTTTTTTTTCTCTTCATTCTGCATATTCGTTTTTCAAAGACGTCAATAGAAGTTCATTTACATTTTGTAGTGAAACTCTTTTTTTTTCTGCCTCGCAACTGGTGTGCAAAATTGTCACATTTTATCACTGATATATTTTTCTGTTTTATTCAATTCAAAAACTTCACTTTTATTGCATCACTTTTTTGTTTGAATTTTAAAGAAGAAAAAAAAACTCGGTTTTTGTATATACAAATTCGATAAAACAATGTCACACGACGAAAAAAATTCCATGGAATTGTTACAAAATCCAGTGAATCACAGTGAATGAATTTTTGTTCCGCACGTCTTGCGTTTTTAAGCGGTCGAACGAATTTCTTTTAGTAGTTACACATTGAACGGCTCAGACATAAATAACACTGGCTAATCGTTCGAGACGCGTAGCAGAACACATAATACGCCAGCAAATGTGCACACATGCAAAGTGCCAAGCAGCGATCGCACATATTTTCAAGGCAAGTGCATGTGTGTGTGTATGTTTGTTGAAGAGAAAGAAGAAGAAAACACTGACGCGATGCTTGTGTGTCGTCTGTGTTGATGAGCATGTATGGGTACTTTATTGTTGTTGTTGTAATTTTAAAGCGACACATAGCTGAATGCGCCTACAGTCAAACGCGATTAAACCTATTTCAGCAGCGATACGTCGTTGATAGCGACCGATCACAATAACATAACGTTAACACCGCCACCGATTTGAAACGATCTTGAACGCACGTATGCTATGAAGAAGCCAAAAATAGCGAAAATATGTGAAATGCTAGATTATTTTGCGGTTCGACATAATATGCGTTCGTATGAAATCGTGCTATCCACATATTTCTTTTCGCTCTTTCTTTCGCGTTATTCGTTGATCAACACTCTTTCTCGTGCCATTGCGCTGATTTTCGTTCCAGTCCAAATGATCATATTTGACGGAAGGTATGTTGCTTGGTTATTCTAGCAAACTCTTTTTTTTGACAGTTTCGAGACTTTCGATGAATCAATCTGTGTGCATTGTTTTTATAGCAGGAGTTGATCAATCTCACTTTTGGTTTTATTCGCAATAAAATCAAAATTCATACTGACGATTTACAACGAACAAGCCCATCAAGGTTGTGATGCAATTGATGCACATGTGTGCGTTTTCATATGAAATCAACACTTGGAATTCTTATCAAGAACACTCACAGACAGTGTCGTCACGAATTTTTGTGCTACAACAAAAACAAATGGGAAAAACAAACACATCAACCTCTGTCCTTCTCTTTCACTCTTGTGTCGCAACCAGCCAACAGAGGTCGACAATGAAAGGGCGAAAAATTACAACAGATGAGAGAGAGAGAGAAAAAAACCACCGAACCGAAATCGTGAACCGAAACTGAAATACATTTCATATGATCGAATTTTTTGTTGTTGACATCTATGAATAATAACAAGGTTGTTCAGCGTTCTCAACTTGCCACTATAAAATAAAAGTAATAGTTTTGTATCTGAATTTAGAGAGAGAGAGAGAGAGAACAAAATGTTTACATACTTAGAGGTACCGTTGTTGACGCACCTGCAAAATACATAAAGAAAAACACAAGAAAAAAAAACACAAACGTTTTAGATTGTATGTTGAAGTGAGTGTGTGTGTGTGAGAAAGAGAGACGGATTTAACGGCGTGTTGTCATTGGATCATTTAGCGAATATATTACATACAGAACCATGATCACGTTGAGCCGTTTCCAAATATATTAAATCATACTACAAAATGCTCGGATTCTATTTCGGACAACGGAATTTGGTTTAAAAATAGGATTGACTCGCCGTAACCATAGTTCAATGTGAGATACACATATTACTAAAAAAAAAAACATTCATTTTTGGGACATTTTGGTGCAGATGATCTAGGTGATGAAATTTTGTTGCTATATTGCGGGCGAAACGGTTTGAGTGCAAATAGTTTCTTGTTTACGGGAAATGCGTTTTGGTGTGTCAATGGAGATGAAAGCTAAATACGGGACCCAAGTTCTAGAGTAAAGAAATAAGACACCGAGTGAAATGGACCTACTAGGCTGGTGAACAATTGAATCGATAATAAGATAAATAAAAATGAATCATAAAAAAATAAAATAAATAAAATTATCGACTTTGATTGGAAAAACAGAAAATAAATAAACAGAATTAAATTGTTGTAGAAAAATAATATCGAGCAGCTGATTCATTTCCCTTCAATGGAACCAACAATCTCTGGCTATTTCTCAACGCAGGAAAAAAAAGGCTGTTTAACTTTCGCAATCCATAAACAGAAAATCGACGTTGGAACATGTAAAGAACAATGGACGCAGCAGATCGCATAGTAATCGGAGCATATCGAAATAAAGCACAGCTTAGCATTTAAATCGCTTTTATTTCAATAAATAATTAAATTGAAGCGTAAATATTAATGAATCACGAAAGCAGCACTTTTGGTTTGAAGTGAAATCACAACAGCTCGTGCACGAGCACACACACACACACACACACACATACGCACGCAATATGAACAGCAAACCGCTTGTTGCAGCGTTCTTCTCGATAAAAATGACCCATTGGCTTATGCTAAATTATTATTATTCATGTTGACAATATGCTTAATAAAGTGGATGGCCGTGTTTTCATTTTCGTTTCTATTTTGGACACGCACTGTCATTCGTTTCTTTCTTAGGTTTTCGTTCGATTTGGGGCCGTTTGAGAGACAAGGATTTTTCGGAGAAGAGGTCAAATACTTTGTTTCGATCGTGTCTGGGAAAAATTTGCTCGCAAAGGACCGACATCGCATGAACCGAGTCGTCGGCGTTAAGGACATTTCATTTAATATCATGCTGGAGTCAATTTACTAGCGCCATTATTATCAGTGTGTAACAAAATGAGAAAAGCAATTAGGAAATCTTTGTCACAATCTCATCAAATTCATTAGAAACCATATGAATTGCGACGACGACATCATTCTATCGTGTCACATTCCGTGTATCTTTGCGTATAGTCACTTTGTGAATTTTTCCATTAATTGTATTACGCAATCATTTTTTTTTCTCTCTGTGTCCCTTAGTCTGTGCACAAATGAAGTTGGCGACAATAAAGTAATGTTTACGTCTTATGTTTTTTATCCATTGTATTTTTCCTACTACTCTTAGTACATTTGACCGCAATTTATCTTGTCATGTCGAAGTGGAGCCATCAACACAAGCAAGATTCATTGTTGTGCTTCCTCTTCGTTAAATACGTAAGTGGTGTGTATATCGAACAAGTAAACGGGAGAATATCCATTTACAAAGGACAATCCGCTCATTTGAAACACCCGCTCAAAGAGTGCGCCCATACACACAGTCATGGCACAAAGACGCCAAAATAGAGTGATAGACGGTAGAATATATTGACCGATTTAATTGTGATGCGTTCTTGAGCTCTGGTAGGTTCATGCTCAGCACTTTTTTCACGTTTCTTTTATCCTCGGTTGATCTTTCATTGAACACTTGCCAGTGTTCAATTGAAACTCATGAAAAATGCAAAACAATGCAACAAAAATTGATTTCTTCCGGTTTATTGTCCCTTCACATTCCTCTAACCAAGCTACATAATTCCCCTCGAAATGGCTTTTATTCAATCAATTTACACACTAATCCTATATATGGGGCACACATAACACAAAGAAGAGAGAGAAAAAAAAAAATGCGTAGCTCACTTATTTCAGACTCGATTAATACGTCTGGTTGGCAACTGGTGGCGTCAATAATTGGATTCAACACTGATAAGTCGATAAAGTTCACATATTCTTCGTAGATATTAGGTAATGCAATGGTGTCGCTTGTTGCTAATGCAGTAATTGCTGGCGGTACTAAGATTGTCGTTACTTTCTTATTTATTATGGACATTTCATCCGATGGATCGATACATTCGTTCGTATCACTCGCATTTTGATCATCACTATCGTTATTTGCATTGTTCGTAGTGCGAATACGATTCAAAAATGGAATCATTTGTTCGGCACTAGTCACAAAACGTAGCTCTTTACGTAATTTTTCGGAAATGTTCATTTTATTTTTCCAATTTTTTTTTTTTTTTTGCTTTCCAATGAACACAAAATGGCAAACAGGGAGATAGAGAGAGGGAGAGAACAATTGAAAGTCACAAATTCACTCTGTTTGAAACACACTAACGAATGCGTTGATCAATTTGACTCAAACCGAATCAATCGTAATGAATTACTAAATGATGCTTACTTAATTCGAATCAAGCGAATCGCATTTTTCGTTCGATTCGATTCAAGTGCAATTTGCAGTGACGAAAATAAGAATATACAATGTATATTATACATATATATTGAAAGGAATAAAAACTAGCATTTTTTTTTGCTTTACGTTTGCCATTTGCCATACGTATAAAATAAAGAAACTGTATCGAGAAGGAGCAGCACACACAGGAGCCAGTAGATGTATTGATAAGATGATCAAAATAAATATTACGTTTGCTTGACCGATATATTCAAAGCGATGCAGGCCGCCTATTATATACTATGTATATGAATCCTATCGCCTAGTGCTTTAGCCAAAGTCTCCACGTGACAAATTCAATGTTGTCGAACGCTTCATTTTCAAGTCAATTAAAAAAAAATTTCTTGCTGAGATTCACATTCTACTATCTCTCAATCGTTTCGTTTCTGTTTCATGCTTCGCATCGAAATGGTAAGCGAGCGAGTGAGTGAATGAGATCGAGTGGTTCGAGAGCACGTTCACGCAATTAATCGGCGTTTAATTTGAGTTATGTAAGTTATACAAATTTAATGAACGAATTCATCGAATATAAATGAAACACCTGTTATATTTCTCTCTGTGAGCGCTCGATACACCAGCAGCAGTTGCAGCAACGAAAAAAAAACAACCAACACCAGCGACCTTGCTTATATCCTAGCGCATTAGCATCGCCTGTGCAATGAGCATTGCCATGACGTCACCACGCTACCGAAATATTGAATTACCCGAGAATTCATTTCGATGTGAATTTTGGAGAATCCCCGCTATCCATAAATCTGATTACATCGTAACAAATCCGCGCAGAAAAAAATTTTGCTTGCTTTTTCAGAGCTTTCATTTTTTTTTGTATTCTGAACGGGAATGGAGGTAATACACCTGAATTAATGATAAGTTTCAAATTTCCCAACTAATTATTGCCGAATAATAAATGGCTTTTGCTCACATCAGAGTCGAGCGTATGGCAAAAGGTGGTTTTGAGTTTGAAAATCAATATTCACCGCGTCGGAAAGAATGAAAGCGCTTTGTAGTTGTTGTTGTGATTAAATAAATTGCTTTTTTGTGGACTATATCAAGCATTAATACCCCGTGGTGTTCAGCTTAAT